TTAGAATTCATCGCTTTACAGCTACAATATATTAAAAGAAGCAACAGCGCTTCATTGCAACCTAAATTGCATTACAATCCCACTCTATGTAAATTAAATTTAGCATCTACATTTTCACGCCACCTGTTGACTATCTGGCTCGTATGAATACTTGCATACATAATGTGCCCTTTAACAACCATCCAAGAAGCCCAATTACCGCCATGTGTATGTGATAACATTACCGCATTACAGAAGTTGCCAGTGACACTGACAGTGGCAGGCCTCTGTAACCCCATAACAGTTTGAGTCTGACTCTGCCGTTGACAGCTTTTTCGCACTGGCATCTTGTAAAGGGAATTCCCTGCCATTTCTTTGCGAACTGCTTGGATATTACAAATTCCCAAAGAACCGGCACCACCATTTCGGCAGATGCGCCGAGCCAAATCCTTTTTAGAACCAGCTCCACCAGGTTCAGGTTTAGCTGCAAGTTCCAAGAATCCATCGCATAATCCCTGGAGCCAATATCAGTTGAAGAAAATTATGAAATGGTTGGTTTGGCATGAGATCTGCGCTGCTCTGCGCTGCTCTGCGCTGCGGGGCGTATCACATCAAAGCAACGTTCAACAGCATTCAACATGCATTACATAAAAGCGCGTGCTGTGCTCAGGGAGTACTCTTTGGGGGACACTGGCACTGTCTTGAGATGTGTCTGAGTTATGACATCTTCACCACCCGCTGGGATAAGCATCTAAGCGTGCGGTTGCTCATCCGCATCCGGGCATCCGCACAGGCCTTGGCATCGGCATCGGCATCAGGTGCATCTGGCAGAACAGCTGAAGCAGCGTTACTCTCCGTACGAGTGACTACTTTCCTCATATCTGTTTTTGTTTTTTCCACTGATTGCTGTTGTAATACAGGGCAGGGGGATTGACATTCAAATTAGATGGATTATGACAGAGCGATCAAAACGTATCAATGGAGCGTAGCTGCAGCTGACTGCTGCAGAAAATTAACTTTCATACATTTTTCGTATCTGTTTTTTCGGTTATTTGTATCAAAATAGGGTAGGGGGGGATTGACATTTAAAACGACATTGGTTTGGCTGGAAATGTATCAGGAGGGAACGGGAAATCGTACAGCTGACTGCTGCAGACGCAGTCTGGAATAAATATGCTGCTAAATGAATGTGGTAGAATTTACTTTGAAAAGAACATAGACTTCCTTTATAGACTTGCGCCTAAATCAACTGCTTCCACATTAGGCGGCACTGTGATGGTCGACTCGATACGCACAAGAGAGTGCCGAAAAGAGAACACCTTAGAATGGACATTTTCGTTACATCGAATGTTCTGATATTTGGTTGTGGCTTAGATGGATTGCACTCAAAGAATAAAACACTAAACAAAATGCAAGAGAAGGGAGAAGGGGACGCAGCTAAATTTCATAATCAAGTGCGTCATTTGTCGGAATTAATTGCCATTCAAATCAAAGACCAGCAACAATAAGAACGTTCAAAATAGACAAATAGTGTTTTATGCATACAATTAAATGTATCAGCACCCATACACACATTCGTACTCGTAGATGTATCGTAGATGTATCTACACAACCACTTGCTGCCATGCTGCCAAACTGCACTCAAATGAATCGATGCGAAAACAAACAAAATAAAATATGAATCACGGAATTGAATGGACGCTTTCGTCTAAATAGTGCACAAGGTCAATTAGTTGAAATACTCGTACCATCAAAAAAAACTATATATATACGTACATACACACACACATACTCGTATAAAAATTAAATAGTGGATTGTGTTTTTATTTTTGTGATAACATTTCAATGATGTTTTGCTTTGAGTTACTTTTGAGATTTGATTTGTTTGGATGCACGCTTCAAGAGCATTCAGAAGAACTTGTTTGTGTTAATACTCTCTACATCAGTGGATTACTTTGATATTTAGATTTTTAGGAGTATCCGCCCAAGAGTTACTATTGGAATGGTCAATGTAGTTGGAACAAAGTTGAATGGATGTGATAGAACCCCTAATTTATTATACATAAATACATACATATATGTAGCAATGAATATAAGGGGAAGGCTTTTGCGTGTCGCAACTCTGGCTCCAGAAGTACTCTGTAACCTCTAACATTTGGAGAACTCTGCCGTTGACAGTTGTAGCATTTGAGACTCAAATTTCTCCATGTGGGAAGAGAATTTTCTACTCCTTGGAATGGGTAGGGGATGCAGATGCGTCTGTGTATCTGCATGGAATGTTCTAGAAGCATCTAACAATGAAGCAAGCTGGGATATACATATGGATATATACATACATATACATAGGACATAAGAGAGATCTTAATGCATTGTACTTACCACAATTAATGCATGGGTAAATATTTAAATATTACGCATGGGATAAATAGTGGCAATAGATACTGAAATAATAATTTCAAGTTTTAGTTTCACTTTGAGAACACAATTTTGAGAAATCAATATCTGTGCGATATCTTACCTTACCCTGGGATATTCTTCTTTCCAATAACAATCCCTCTTAAAAACTTTCTCTGCCTTCGATCCTCCCTCCCTGCTTAGTTTCAATTGCATTTTGCTCTCATTTATTGCGTAATTTGCTACCCAAAGTGCGTTGCTTTGCAAGAGGAGATCAGTAAACCCTCCCCAGGCCACAAGTTCCCCCCCACCCGATACCCGATTTCCGATGCCCATTCCTAAAATCCTTAAAAGACGAAGAAGAAAAAAAAGTTGTTTTGATTTCATTGTGTGCGTTGTCGTTCCAGGAACCCAGCCTTATAGAGAAGCTCCTTATAAGAATGTGAATGTGTGAATGTGTGAATGTGTTTGTGTTTGTGAAAAGGATTTACGCGTTGTTTTTCTTGTACATTTCGCACATCGCATCGTCGTTTCTTCGGGATGTTGTTCTGGTTGTTTGGTTTCAGTGTGGCAGGGGGGGGCAGGGACTGTGGCAGAGACAGAGGCAGAGGCGAGGTGAGGCACAGCAGATAGGTTACCAGATACCTGAGCTATGATTTCGCCTTGAAACTTCTTCATTCAGGTGCGTTGCCATGTACATTAGTGTGTGTGTGTGTGTTGTGTATCACGTATCTGCGTGTGTGTATGTGTGAGTGCAAACGAGACGCAATTTTGATCTATTTTTTGGCTTCAGCTTTAGCTTTTTTTTCCCCTTTATATTCCCTAAGGCTCTTTGTTGTTGGTGCTCTCTCTGTGGTGCTCTGGTGAGCATTTTGTGTAATTGAAAAAGCATTTGAAATGCAGCTGCGTAAATTTCCATTGCGTATTCGCTTTCATACAACACATACAACAATGGAATCCACAAGAAATAGTCGTAAAAGTACAGTTGTGCACAAGTGAAGCTATTTAAGGGAGCGGGAGCTTTGGCCAAGTGCAAAAGTAATTGGGGATTTTTTTTTGTTTGTTTGAAGCTTCTGTAAATGGGGAAGATGAACGAGTACGGATGGAAGCAGGGTGACCGGGATGAAAGGAAAGTGATAGGGGGGAATAATTATATGTAATAAAGAGTCACACGGCTGCTACATGCGGGGTTTTGTGTTAAGAGGATCTCTTTGGATCTGTTTAATTTTTAACTGCGTAGTTTCCTTAAGATATCTTGTATCATATGTGCCTGTGGCTATTTTTCTTTATATCAAACTCTTTTTTACACTGTACATCAATGCAGTGTGTACCTTCAATGCAGCAAAACCATTCGGAGCAAAAGTTCTAATGTTAATTAACATAAAAAAGAAATGAAGAAAGTATCCATAAAGTGCCACTGGAACTGGAACGCTTTCTTCATTGCTACCGCCAATCAGCATCCAGCATCTCGATCAATTTCTCCCTTTACCCACAACGATACCAAACATCTGAGCCATCAAGGGCAGAAGAGCAACCTCTCCCTGCTGCTCCCCGCATCAGCCAGAGAATTCCAGTTGCTTGAGCGGAGCGGAGTGGAGACTCCACCTTAGACTCAAAAACTGCAAACTTCCCAGGAATTTCTTAATAGCTTTTTACCGATATATATATATATATTTTTTTTTTGGTTGGCCATTCAGTGTGTGGTGTTGGCTGTTGCTTCGGGGCTTGAAACGAAACCGTTGATTTCTGATTCCTGCCGCTGCCCCAAATAGGGGAAAAAAATGAGTCAGTGATGAGGGAGGAGATGGTAGAGGGGCGAAGAAATTGGTGGCTTCCACAAAAGTTGGCGGGGCCGCATTTTTCTAACGATTAAACAAATTCGGAGAAAACAAACGCATCCCATGCAACGATGCGATGCGATGGCTCCAAGGCGAACAGAACAGAACGGAACGGAACGGAACGTCACCTGCAGTTTCCAGGAATTGGTGGCAGGGATCGAGCGACGAGCTCGAGCGGCACGCAACGCGAGGAGGAGGCGGCAGAAGAAGAAACCGTAGACGAGGCATACAACAAAGTCGAAAGGAGAGTCCCCGGGAGTCACTTTCAGAATCAGCAAATCAGAAAGTTCTCTCTACGTTGCATCAAAAAGTGAGGCTGCGGCTGCGGCTGCTGCTGCGGCTGAACCTGCGGATGGCGGCATATTTGAGTGGTCGAAAATTCCCAGAATTGAATCGTATATCTTTTTTTTTTTTGGTTTGGTGTTTTTTTCTTCTTGTGGTTGTATCGCTTTGGTCCGGGCCTTTCTAAATGCTCGATTAATTTCTAATAAATTGGTTGGGCAGAGGAAATGCTGCAGGCACAGGCGAGGGCCATGCCACCAGATAGAGTTACCAACACAAATGCGATGCATTTTGAAATTTGAGTGTGTATTGAACACTATTCCAGGAACTACTGGGTTATGTGCAAAGGCATCAACTTTTTTGAGGATAAACTTTTGCAACATTGCATTAGGCCGATAGATTAATTTCTGATTGAAAAGCAGGCGCTGCGGAAGCTGTTCGTGTTCGTAAAACCCAAAACTAATCCTAGCCATACGTTTTTGTTTTGTTTCCCCATTCTCGTTGCAGCATTTGTCGTGTTCGGACCTGTGATCTGTGTTATTCGTAATTTGTTGAATTTATACAGCAGTTTTCATCGAAATTAATTATCACCAACGATTACCAGCGGAGCGGAAATAACACACAAAAAAAACATTTAAGAAAACAATTGCAAAATTCCCTTTTGGCTAAGGATTTGCGGCGGTCACACCAGTGCTTTTATGCTCGGCAGCTGGCAGCCACAATATTCCACGAAATTCCATTTTGGCAACAAACTAAAACAAATAAATCAACAACAACAGCAACAACAACAACAACAACAACAACAACGCGCAAAATTCAACAATCAACAATCATTTACATCCGTCGCTCTGGCGCCGCTCAAACCCTTTGTATCCTGAATTTGATCAAGAAAAAGGATACGCCGGATAGGAATACGGCTCCAGGACGATATAGAACTTAACGGAACAACGGAGGTACAACTGGCGTCAACATGGATCCACAGCAGCAGTTCTGCCTCAAGTGGAACAGTTATTCCTCCAATTTGGCAATAACATTCTCAAATCTATTCAAATCGGATCTACTGGCCGATGTTACACTGTACTGCGATGGTAAGTTTTTGCCAACAATTTTATTTGCTTTTACATACTTCAGACAATGACAACAATTACAAGATAGGGAAAATGTATAATATTCCTAAGTGCAGGCGTTAAGTAGCTTAACGTGAGGGTCATAATGGTTGCTCCAAGGTGGCGTGAAGAGTTCCAAGAGTGAAGAGTTCCCATCTGAAACGAATGATTTCACAATTGAATTCGTAGAAATTATCAGAAATAAATTCAAGAAATTGTTTACAATTTTGACAGGAAAAACTTTACGACTTTATGTTGCTAGTGAAAATTTCAATGATTTATTGTAGAGCTACTGCAACTTTAGCATGAGGAACACGGAACTCCCCCAAGTGAACGACTTTGATGAATATTTTCATACATTTATTAAGATACCTTAAGCTTCCTCCCAACTTCAACCAAGGAAAGAATTTATTCTGTCCTGTGTATACCCAACACACATATGTGTCTGATGTAAGCGATAAATTGTCCTTTGCGTAGATATAATAGTCATCACATAAGCAAAGGCAGATGTGTAATAATCATGATATAAGAACAGGAAGATGTGGGGACCCTTGGAATGTAAAGATAAACAGAATTATTTCCCTACAAGGCTCTTGTGCAAAGTTTTTTTTTTTCCTTTTGGCTAATAAGCTACCAGACATTGATTTCTTTTTTTCTTGTTCTTTGCGGGCTTGTTTGATGGCAACGCGCGAAGTAGCTTTTATGGTCTGTCTCCGTCTCCGTCTCGTCCTTGTCTGTCTGTCAGGGTCCTGTTGCCGTCGTCGTCGCCCTGTTGCTGAATATTCCCCGTCTGGGGTGGAGTCTTTACTAGTTCATTTACGGCCTTTTACTACAGTTTTTATGCTGGCTTATTAAATGGCAAATAAATGCGGGACAGGGGGACAGACCTACATACATATATAGAACACAAAATCTCTAGATTCCGTTTATGTATAAGTATATATTTTTACATATATTTATTTAGCTTTGACTGAGGTCAGTTATTTTTGGGGTTCCTTTGTGCTTTTTGTGTGTGTGTGTGTGCTTGGGCCTGTGACTGTGACTGTGCCTGTGCCTTTTGGGACCCTTGTTAACCTTCCTGTTCTTTCCGTTTCGCTCTCTTTTGATTTGGGTTTAAATATTTCCCTTCTTGGCCTGTTTTTGTACTGGGTGTAATGTGTGTATGTGTGTGTCTGTGTGTCGTCTTGGCTTACTTTTATGATTATTATGTAGGATTTTGTGTATGTATTCCGTTTTATGTTTTTGTTTTATGCTTATGTATGCCTTGGCCTTCAAATGATTTTAAATTTTACACAAAAAACTTTGAAGAGAAAGACTGAAAGAGTTTTTGGGGCTCTTTAAAGCCCCTGCAGACATTACTCATGCGGGAAAGTATAGATTTTAGCATTGATTGAATGAGTGGGAACAACAGTCGCTGGCTGGGATTATGGGTGCTTGGAAAGGGGTTTGTGGTTTGGTGTTCGGGAGAGACATACGCAGACAGCTCCCCCAACAGCAACACCAAAAAAAAAGCCTAGACAAATCCTGGAACCCCTTTACATCGCCCACACTCTCTCGCTCTCTGTGAGTCCCCGTTGTCATTCATATCAATCGAAGTGGTACTACTTTTGATTAAAATTTGCCCACCCAAACCCCTCCCCCCCAACACATCCTGTAAGCCCTTTGGTTTTCCTGCTTTTAATTGTGGTTTTTAATATTTCTTTGGTGGCGTGGGCTGCGGCCGTCCATCCAAAATCTGCATTTGTTATGTTTGATTTGTCTCTGGCTCTCCACCGATCCCTTTTTGTCCATTTCGAAATGAAGCATTAAATATTTGGCCGTCTGTGAAAACAAAAGCAAATAACGTATGTTTTTTATTGTTTTTAATATTCATGTGTACTCGTCGTACATTTTTTGGATATTCATTTCTGTTTTACACTTTTTCGATTACAGAAGGATGCATGGGCTTTGTGCTTCTGGGGTTCTTTACCACTTGAGAAATGAGCATTTTTACCCAAATGAACATTTGCTTGGCCTTGGGCCATGTTATTGGTGGGACGTATGGGGGGTTGTGGGTTGGGATGACTGCTGTCTGGTGGGAGTTTTCCCCTCTGTCAGGGGTTGATTTTGAGATGAACAAATATATATTTGAAGATTTGTTTGTACTTTATTAAGGTGTGTGGAATGGATTTTTAGGGCAGAGGAATAGAATATTTAAAATTTCTTTAGCCAACATTTGACACATTAAAATAATTTTCAAGTGCAACACCTTCTTCAGGAGCAAACCACGTGGTTTTTTGTGTCCCATGAATCATCCGATTAGATTAGAGACCCAAAAAGCCAAAAGAAAAACTGGCCATATTTCGAGTACTCTGTGCGAATGTTATTGCCAAAATGCAGTAAACTGGGTACAGTATACTCGGGTGCGAAAATAAAATCAAAACAAATTGTAGAGGAATACTACTAGTATGATTATGATTATTCGCAGCCGTAAACATTCGCCCATTAATCGGTGGGGATCGGATCGATCTGGCGCGGGGGGCGGAACGTAAACAACGCAAAGCAGAAGCAAAAATGTTTTATACACATTATTGTATGACATTTCTTTATCAAGGCCACACCATACAGACATATCGGAATATATGTACATACATACATATATACAGAGATATACTCTCGTATGTATTGGGTTTTTGCGTTTTCTTTTGTGGCGATTGTGACCCAATTTCTGTTGTATCAAGTGTTAGAAAATCAAGCAACACAATAAATACATACAAAAAAAAAAGGAAAGGCAGAAACTTAATCATGAGAACGTAGAAAAACAACAAAATAAAAGTTGAAAATAATTTAATTTTTTTTTTTGGCAGAGGGTAAACAACAAGTGTGTGCTGTGGTGCGCCCGCCATATGTGAAATGCAATTTGCGTAGTATTAATCCCCGAATATTATATAATCAGCGCGCATAGGTAGCATTGTTTTGCGTGCTAATGAGTGACGACTTGGATTAGGTATACGCAGCGTTGGCTGCTGCTGTTTCACTTCCTACTAGAGGTGGAAATGGAACTTCGGTGCCTCGTGCTCAAACTATATCAAAGGTGTCTGTTTCATCATAACAAGTACAAACAAATAAATAGAGACACCCAAAAACATCTCTGCTCAGTGCTCAGTGCTCAGTGATGGTGCCAAGCCCGCACCCATCTCTACTTCCGAGAATGATTTCCAATGCTCGTGCAATGCGGCATATGACCTTGATGGTGTTTTTTTATTGTTGTTCTTTTGTGTCTTTTGCCTCACGAATTCTCGTTTGTTGTTATCAATCCGCGTAGAATTCTCTTATCATCGAAAAAGTGGAATTGAAGGCGCACAATTTCTGTTGAATTGTATATAGAAAGAGTCGTGGACGAGGGACGGGGTATGGGGTACTGCACCCTGATTAAGCCCCCTCCGAGGAAATGTTTAATGCACATTTGCCTGTCACTTTGTTAGGTGGTAGGAAGCAGCTGCTGCTGCCCCAAATTACTAAAAGTGTCAAACTTGAAATATATTTATGAGCAATGTTGGCGGTAAATAAAATTTCAGTTATCTTCAGTGGAGTAGCTCTATCGCAGGCAGCCAGGCAGCCAGCAGCCAGCCACCAGCCAGCCACCAGCCACCGCTGTGCGAGTGTCACTTCAATTTGGCTTAAGTAATGCTCGCTGCCAACACAACAAGTGCCCCATAAAGGAGCGACACATAAGTTTCGAAACACCTTCTGCTCCTGCTCCCACTCCCACCCAGTGGCACCCAAAAGAAAAGCGTGAAAAATGTCAGTACATAGCCGAAAAAGATTCCATATACAGCACACAAAACAACTCGTAGAAAATGAGGGGGGGAGGGAGGTAGCACATCAAAATATACTTATTTTGGAGTGACTGCGACATGGCGGAAGGAGGAGGAGGAGGAGGAGGGCTTGGGGGTGGGTTTTCCAGGGGGATGGCTTCCAGGTAAAGTCAGGCAGGAGCCCAGGACACACACAAAAGATTGCCAAGACGCGACATTGATGTTGAATAATAACTCAGACACAAAGATAGAGAAAAGGAGAAATACTATACATATATATAGTATATATATGTATGTAACCGTGAGACTTGGTGGGTGGTTGGGGGTGGGAAAAGCTCATTGTGTGTGTGTGTAGTCAAGAGCAAGGAAATAATTTTCTTGCTTTTCGCTTTTTATTGTGCTACGTGTTTATGTTTGTGTGTGTGTGTGGCGGGTCCTCGCTTTCCTCTCTCTATGCATGTGATGTAAATGTGTGAGTGGGGCAGGGACAGGGACAGGGACAGGGGGTGGGTATACTCTTACTACTCGTAGTATATATATTTAACATGATTTTTTTACGAGTTCAAGGTCTTGGCTAGCGTTTTCGTTTTCGGCGCCACCTGTTGGCAACTGCCTTCATGTCTGAGATGCCGGTAGAGATGCTTTAATCGAAGCATTTCGAAATGAGGGAAGGGAAATTGGCTAAGGAAGTGCAGACTATTATCGCTTTTTCCTTGCTTACTGAAGGGGAAGGGGTTTTATTGGAAGTAGGATTATATTTTCTATGAACCATCCTTGGCTAACACTGTCGTGTTCCATTCGCTACCATTGCAGGCGCAGTCTTCAAAGCACACAAACTTATATTGGCTGCCTGCTCAAAGAAGTTTGCCGATCTGTTCGAGAACACGCCCACCAATGGCCAGTGCGTCATCATACTGGAGGCCACAACGCCCGATAACATGGCCGCTCTTCTCGAGTTCATGTACAAGGGCGAGGTGCATGTGTCCCAGGAGGCACTCAACAGTTTCCTCAAGTCCGCCGAGAGCTTGCAGGTGAGTTTCCGCCACACTCAATTCCGAGTTGTGATTTCACTCCAACATTACCCCTTTACATTTCCATTTATCTTTGATCAGGTCAAGGGACTGTCGACAGAGACCGGTCGTCTGGCCGCACAACAGGCTCAACAGCAGCATATGGGCGACAGCTCGCCGCTAGATTCGCCCACGGGGCGACGCAGCATGCGCAACAGCCTCAGCGGCAGCAGCATTGTGCAGGGCGGTGGCGTTGGCATTGGTCTGGGCACTGGCTCCGGGGTGAACTCCATTCCCGGGGGCCTGGGCAATGGCAACGGGCTGAGTCTGGCCGGCGCCCTCAGTGGCATGGCCGCTGCCGGTGGAATGGCAGCCGCTGCCAGTGTGGCGGCCAGCGGATTGAGTGCCCTGGCGGCCAGTGCGAATGCACTGGATCGTTGCGGCAGTGCTGGTGGCAACATTATCGGGGGCACAGCGACGGGCCATGGACCCTTGAGTGCTGGATCCGGAGCAGGCGGAGTCGGTGGCAATGGAGTGGGTGGTGGCAACAACGGACCCATTAGCCTGGGCAGCGGTGCTGGCGCCGCTCTTCATCTGGGCGGATCGACCGGCAGCTTGAAGCAGGAGTGCGACTCGATGATGCATCCGGGCAGCAGCTCCTCCTCCACCATGGGCTACACCCATGTGCCGCCCATGTACAGACCCATCTCGTATGAGCCGCTGCGCAAGCGCGCCCTGCGCAGTCCGTATGCCGAGCAGGAGCTGCGCGGCTCTGTGCTGCGCGATGGCTCCAAGAACTCGTCCTCCGAGTGCCCCAGTCCCATCAACAAGCCGCCGTATCATCGTCCATCGTCCAGTGCTTCATCGACGGCGCCCACCGAAGCGGACACCATGCACTCGGAAAGAGCCTCGCCACAGTCCAGGTGGGTCAACAGCTAGGACATCAGTCCTATCCCATCCACACCCTTATTAACTGACTCTCTCTCTCCTTAGTCGCTACGAGAACCACAGTCCCAGCACCACAGCCGGCAACGGCAATGCCAACAGTGGGCTGGATCGCATTGTCAAGTCGGAGCGCAACAATGGCAGTGCCAACGATGCCAACGACGATGACCGCGAGCTCATGGATGAATCAACAGATGTGAGTGGCAACAACAAAGCGCGAATTACCTTAGCTAATCCATTTAACGCATTCAATACAGAACGGAGCCGAGGATCTGCGCGTGAAGCTGGAGAACTCGAACTACTCCCCACCACCGCCGCCGAACTCGAACACCTCATCGACCACACCGAACGCCCTGCTGGAGAACCTCAAGAATGCGGATGGATCGATTTCGGGCAATCTGGCCGCATCTATTGCACCGGCCGACATGCTGAACGTGTGGAATGCCACCAAGATGAACAACAAGAACAGCGTGAACACAGCGGACGGCAAGAAGCTGAAGTGTCTGTACTGCGACCGCCTGTACGGGTACGAGACGAACCTGCGCGCCCACATCCGTCAGCGCCATCAGGGCATACGTGTGCCCTGTCCGTTCTGCGAGCGCACCTTCACCAGGAACAACACGGTGCGGCGGCACATCGCCCGGGAGCACAAGCAGGAGATTGGACTGGCGGCTGGGGCAACCATTGCGCCTGCCCATGTGGCAGCCGCGGCGGCTGCAGCGGCGGCCGCCAATCACTCACCATAGGAGGCGGCCGCAACAGCAGCGGCAGCAGTAGTCATGAGCGCCCACAAGGAGGCGGCGAAGCAGCGTAAACGTAAATCACTCAAGATGGCACTCGAGAAGTGCATGCAGCGGCGGGATGCGATGGCCGCGGTACCCGAAGCGGTAGGAGGGGGCGAGATGGAGGCGGCGGAGATGGAGATGGCGCCATTGCAGGCGTCTGGGGCACACACAATACCAATACACACGAGCGGATCAGCGGGCACTGAGCCGTTCAGCTACGAGCAGCAGCAACAGAAGATGCACCACGAGCTGGCTCAGCAGATCAAGGCGGCGATGGCCGTCGAACAGGCCCAGCGGGCCGAGGCAGAGGCCGAAGCAGAGGCTATGATGGAAACCACCATGAACACAACGGTGAACACCACCCACACCACCACAACCACCAATACCACCAATACCACCAACACCACAACGGGCACCAGCGACGGTGGCAGCGGCAGCGATGCCGAGGCCAGCGATGGCAGCCTCGAGCGGACCATGGAGGTGGACGAGTCGGTGCCAGAGCCACAGCCTGGCTCCGAGCTCGTCGTGGTGGAGCCGAAGATAGAGCCTCTGTCGGACACTGAGGATGAGGAGGAACCCCAGCATCTGCATATGTCCGAGCCGGAGCCGGAGGTCTACAATCGAATGCAACACACGCCCACCAGCCCCCCACACATAATACCGCCCAACGAGACGCCCACATTGACCTCCACGCCCAAGGTCAATGTGGAGCAGTAAGAAGGAGAAGAAGCCCCCCCCAAAGAAGCTGCTTAAACTTTAGGTTAAGAATTGATACGGAGGAACGTTTAAAGGATGAACGATGAACGATGAAAGATGAAGGAGAGTGATTTACAAATGATTTACGCGTGCGCGCCAAGAAGAAGATGATGAAGAAGAAACAGATGACTACTGTTGCAACTGCTGTTGCCCTCGGAGACCACCAAGCAACCAAGTCCCTGGCCCCAGCAGAGGTCCAGGGCAAACTATTACTAAAAACAAAACAAAAAAAACAAAGAACTACTAATATTTCATAAGATTTATGACAACAACAAACAAACAAACAACAACAAAAAAAAAACAAAATCCAAACACACATCACACACACACACACACACATATGCATCACACGCACACACACATACACACACACACACACACGAACAGAAGGCAGTATTTGATGTCCAACTTTTTGCAGAATTTTTCATTACAAAAATATGTTTTAGAAAGACGCCACAAAAAGATAACAATTCAACAAATCCCAAATGATTTATAACTAAATGAAACAAACTAATAACAAGAATCAGATCGGACATAGAAACAGAAACGGAGCTTCGTAACACGAGCGAACATTAACCATAACCAGAATCAGAACCAGAATCAGAATCAGAACCGGAACAAAAGATTTGTAACAGAAACTACAAACAACAAACTACAGATATACAGAAAGAACCATAATAGACACACACACACACACACACTAAAAACAGAACAGAATAAACTATAAAAACTGCAATCCGGCTGAAAAATTGTTTTCAGGGTGCTAATCAAAGAGAAACTCGCAAAGCAAACAAATAAAAAAACAACTGCAAAACTGCAAAATAATTAAAACTAAAACTATAAAAACAAAAATAGTGAATGCAAAAAGTTTGAACGTTTTTGACTGGTACAGCCTCAAATGTAGACAAAAGATTGAAACAAATGTCATATGTTTGTTTTATTCGTGTGTGTTGAAAGAGTATATTGATCGATCGATCGACCGATCGGATCGGATCGATACGATTCAATTACTGTCGCGTATATATTTTTGATTTCCTATAGTAACAAACACACAACACAAACTGCAAGTTGCCTCAAATCAAACAAAACGAAAAGCTAAGATAAAAAAAAACTGAATTTAACAAACCTATGAAAAACTATTTAAAAAAAATAGCTGCAACAAACAAACAAGAAAAAAATAAGCAAACTACAAAGCAACAATAGCAACAACAAAACCGCAACCACAAGTACCTGCAATAATTAAATAGTATAAAAAAAAAAGAAACAAAATACAAAATAGCAAAGCGAAACGAAACGAAACGATGATAAATACCTAGGGAAGAAACACGGGGTGCCACAGGATGCTTGGAATCCCTACCGGGCAGCAGGCTTACCGCACTTCCAGGCTGCCGTTTGTCCAAGGTTTTTTGTAAATAATTTTATTAAATTTATAATACGAAATGGCAAACGAGATATACAGTCGGGCTATGTGATGAAAAGTCGCCCATATGGGGAGCAAGCATCCCAGGACCTCTGCTTAAAACCAGTGAAAGATTTGCTTTAAAAGGAGAATATTTTTTTTTTGGGTTTATAACTTTAATTTTGAATTTTTTTTATAATTTCTTGAGTTTTTCAAATCCATTTTAGGCCTCAAAATTTTCAAAAACCATTTAACTGCTTTTGGCTAAACGAAAAGAAAACCAAAATTCAATTTAAAAGTTTCTTAAGAAAGTAATACGAAGAGAAAGAAAGAATAAAAAACAATTGGTAAATTGGGTGCCTATATAAGAATATATAATTAAATGACTACTAGTAAAATTTTATAAAACAAAGAATATATATAACGGTGATGCCTTCATCGTAGAGGAAACAAAAAATAGCAAAGAAACGTAAAGTAAATGTAATTATTTTTTAAATTGAATAATTCTAGCCAAGTGTGAAACATGTTGATTAACGAAACGAAACGAAACGAAACAAAAGATTCAGCAGCAACCACTCAAAAACGTTCTCAAAAACTTTCAACGCAACAAACAACAAACAGAAAACAGCAGAGCAAAATCTACAGCATGACAAAATTCAAAATCAAAACAACTTTTGGCACACCTTTGGAAAACATTTTTCATACAAAAGAAAATTCAACAAAAATGAAAAAGAAAACCACCAAACAAAAATTCAAAATTAATTTTTTTCGGCTCTTATAATTTTGGAAGGCTACATCAAAGGCGGGGGGACCTAAAATCGAAATCTAAAGCCCCCCCCACTAAAAAACCCACAAAGAACAAGCTGTAAAATAACTAACAAAAAATGAGAAATATTTGTTGTAAGCAAAGATTGAAAGAAAACCCCAAATGGGAAACATTTAAGTAAAGAACAGTCCGCCACAGAGCGGACACCACCTGTAAATACATTTATCAATGTGCATACATATACTTATATGTATCTGTAGCATATATGTGTGGCCTCAGTTGTATAATGAAATGCCTAGATATACATAGATATAGTATATATATACATATATATGTACGTGTATTGTATACATACAGTACTAAGCGCATATGTAGGAACACTTAGGCTCGCCAACAGAAAGAGAGAGAGAGAGAGAAATAGCGAAGGGTTTTATTTGATTTTGTGACAAGCTAACTGAATTTCCATAGCAGGCAATAGCAGGAAGTCCCCTGATAACTACAGGATGTCCACTCTGATAACCAGCCAGGCAACTCCATAGAAAAGCTAACAAAATAATAGCCAAAATGTTGAATATTTTAAATATATTAACTGTTAAACCACACAAAACGGAAAACACATACAAAACCAAACAAACAACAACACACTAAACGTACAACACCCACGCATGCAGGAAGCTCTTTGGGCTTTCCGATTTTTTAAGTAAAGTTAAAATAGTTCTTACTTAGCCGACACCCAGTTTGTTCTGTGATATCGTTTTGAAGTTGCAAATGAAGAAAAGGTTTATTTTCATTTAGTTCTTTTTATCGTTTTATGCATAATTTTCCCCTATAGAGATGAAAATCCACTCGAATTTCAATTTGCATTCGTGTTGAGAATAGAGACAGAAACAGAAACAATAGCAATATTATACAATTTAAACTTGGCAATATTTTAACCAAAACTACCTCTTTGCCGACCCCACGCTCACGCTCCACACACACACACACACACACACACACACACTCACACAAGAAGATAGAGTACCCCTAACGCCAGTCCGCAAAATGGAATCTCCATCAACGTTCGCTGGAGTCTGAATTACATTTTATTTTTAAGTACGTTGATGGGACTCCATGCACGGACTGACACAGGGTCCAACCCATCAATCAATCAATCAGTCAGTCAGTGAATCAATCAAACAAACAATATTTAATATTCAGGGGTTTATGATTAACCATATTATAAAACCAGATACAGATAATTTTAGATTATTTTTAGTTTAGATTTTAGGTTCGGTCTTCGTTTTCGTTTTGAAATTAGACTGTAATCAAACTCAGGAACTCATATACCTCAGGAAGCAACCTACCTCTTTGTGTTTTTTAAACCTTGTTTCGACTAATTTAACGATTATTATTATTATTATTATGATTACGATTCTGATTTCGGTTTCCATGGAATGAGGTGGAAACACAAACTATTTTGTTGTAATTGAAGATGCTATCAAGGAAAGCTTTAGTTTTTAGTTCGATTATTGGTTAGTTCATACGATGAGATACATGCGATTACCAATTACCGATTAACGATAAATAATTTTAAATGCAAAAGACACACGCAACACCAACGTACACACCACACACACACACACAATAGCTATAATGGGAAACCAAAAAAAAAAACCAGATCGAACTGCAATAGTAAACTGAACTACCTCAAAAGCCATAGACTGCGCAGTAACGAAGTAATGAATACCTATATTATTTTATACAATTTTCATTTCATTTTATTCTTCTTTTTGTAAAATGGTGACACCTACAAACACGCACATACATTTGTACACACTGGAAAACTTTTGGCTAATTGAACAAAATTCGGTTGTAACATCCACACCACCACAGATTTTCCTTTGAGATCCATTTTTTGATGTAAATGTAAATATGCGCTAGAACACACACAAAATTAAACATTAAATGTAAAACCTACAAGAAAATACTTTTTGGCTAAACTCTAATTATACGGAAATATGTGTATGTATGTATCCACAGATTTTACTATGTACGAGTATGTGTAGCGAGCAGATGTAGGCGATATACGAGTACGACCAGGATTAAGATCATTTGTATACATCAATTTCGACAAAGCAACTAAATGAGGCATGAAAACCACACGTAATTCTATATAATCTTACTATAAACAAAAATACAAAGAAATTATTTAAGGCTACAAAATTTACCCCAAAAAAAAAAACGAAAAATAACGAGATAAAGAAAATCCACAAAAAAAAAAAGGATAGAAAGAAACACGAACACAGTTGAAAGAAAGTATACTTTTCCTTGAGCCAAGTCCCCAAAGGCCAAGAAAAACTCTAAAATTAAATAAAATTGAAACCCCAAACGGTTATAAAAACAAAAAGGAGATGGATAAACATTTTTGCTTAACGAAAGAAAAATTTTTCTAAAAGAAACTTGCGTAAACAAGCAAATTAATTGCAAAAACCAACAATTTTAGGCTTAAACTTTTGGCTAAAACAAGAAAAAACAAAACTAAAACGAAAATAAGTAACAATTATTAGGCACATGCAAATAAAACAAAAATCTATGTATATGCATCCAATATTATACATACATACATAAATATTTATTTGAAAGGAAAAATGGAGAAAAATGAAAAAAAGCAAAAATATTTTTATCTATAATCAGATTTTAGGCCCAACTTTTCGACAAGAAGGCGTAAAATAATTTCTTTGTAAAATATGTTTGCAAGCAAAATGGAAGCAAAAATTCCCCGAAAGCGTAATTAACTTAATCTAAACGTAAATTTAAAACAAATGTCGCCATTTTGCATTTAGAGCGTACAGTACAGTAAAGCACACGAAGCGTGACACACAGAAATGAGTCACAAAAACATTATTGTACATAAACTATATTAACGAGAATCCAGAAAAATAATTGTGTATTGTATATTCGTAATTTTGGAATCAGTTTAATAACCCCCTTACCCCTCTTGCGTTGTAAAAATATTTTTAAGCAAACAAAAACTGTAACGTGAATATATTGAAAAAATGATAACGATATATAGTACATAATAGTGTGCACAGGTACAAAGAAAAAATTAAGTTAAATTTAAAATGAAATTTAGTGCACGAAACATTTCGTAAGAGATCGATGTAATTTTTGTTATATATTTTTGTTAGTAATTGTTTTTCTATTAAATGTTTAGTGCGAAATGTCAACAGCAAGCAACCCACGGAAGTCCTCCCCACAACAAGCCAATTGTACTTACGATTACGATTCAATTTCAATTTTATTTTTGTGACCGTACAATCCCCTCACAATCCCCAGTCCACCCACCTCCCCACCACCTATTATGATTACATTACTTTATCTAAGTTATTTCAAATAACTATAAAATAATGCGAAGAACAGCACAGGAATATGTGGATGCAGAAAACCCAGTTTAAGTTTAGGCGGAGGCAAATGAATGTAATATATATTTTTGTATAATTTGTAAACATTTTTCACGTTCGTTCTGTTCGTTCGCAACACATTGGCTTGTTCACACATTTTTCTAATTTGTAACCCTTACGATTAAATCTAAATTTATAATCTAAACACACGTAAATGCTAAAAACAAAATGCAACTAAATAAATGTTAAACCCCAGAAACAAAAAAAAAACCACAGAACCCTCTCATAATTGGCAATTTTCATTCCACAAAATTTCTCCCTTTACAGTACAGAACACTCTGACAACATATGGAATCCCTTCATCCACTCCCTCCCCGATTTTAATTGTAACGAAAATATGTATACTAAAGTTTTATATTATCAAAATTTATTGAAATGGTAATCAATGTGTTTAGGCGTAAGCGACTTTACAGTTCAGTTCAATGCGAAATTGAAGGAAGAGAAAGCTTATTGAAATTAGTTGTATGTGCATACGATATACGCCTATATATCCCCCAATTACATAGGGTGCAGTACACATCTATACACTCCTCTCAATGTGTAAATCAAGTTGTTGTAACGTTGTATAACACGAGAAATCGAAGCGAGTACAAATTAAATTTAATATGTGTGTACGGTTTATAATTTTTTTTGTTTTATATTTTCGTTTTCTTCAGTTGGATTTATATGTATCTTTTTAGTAATTATGTGTAGGTCACACTTAATGAAAAAAAAAGTAAAAGGAAGCATACAAAAAACTTTTGGAACAATGACAAGTACAAAATTTCAGGTAAAACGAAAAACAAAATTTAGCAGATAAATTAAAATTAAAAGAGCATACATACATACTATATGTATAAAAGCGATGAGGATGAAGAAATCGTACAAATTTTTCGGCATAAAGAATAACGTAAAAAAAAATAATGATAGAAATAACTGTTGTAAAGAAAAGACAGTTGGTGTGACTTTCAGAATTGAGTGTTGATTGAATTTAAGTTTCCATCTGATCGCAGACTTTCTTTCATAGTTTTTGTTTAACCATACATTTTTTGGTTCTTCATTTGAAATTTGAATGCAACAAGACTTGAGTTACACATGACACAAAAGAAATATCTCTATGTTAGTCGTAAAAGCGAATTCATTTCCACTTTGTTCGGAACTGCAAAGTTTTCAAATCAACCACACGTAGTTTTCATAATTTGAATTAAAATATGAAAGAAAGAATGGTTCGAGCAGCGACAACAGTCCAACATTCTGAGAATAAAGTTTGATGTGCAGGTGAATGTGTATTTAAATGTACTTTAACTACGGGAATATGTGTATGTAAAAGGTAAAACAAAAATAACAAAAAAAAAAGGAAAAAAGAGAATAGTTTTAAAAAAAGCAAACTCAGGGCATTATCAAGACTCACGACGATGTATACATGCATTTAATACCACAAACAAAACCAAAACCAACTTTTTTCGATATGTATTACAATTATTATGGTAATGAAAAACCAAAAAAAAAAAAAGAAGGTAATAATCATGCAAAACGATTATGAACAACTCAGGTATTTAATATTAATGGAAATATTTTTAAAAACTTAAAAACTAAATGAGAAACGGCAGTCAAGTCAACATTTTCACAAGTTGTGCAATATTCTTAAAGTTTTCTAAATACGTAATAGTATTAATACTCTAAAAACAAAAAGGTTGAAAGATGGTACAGGCTCGAAATCAGTTGAGAGTTGACATGAGTTGAGATGTTCATATGGAGGGAAAGCCATGGGTCTTAATGGTTAGGCATGAGATGGGAAGAGTGAGGATAGGAGGTGAGTTTTTGAAGCACATGAAGACTAGGCATGTACTTACTACTCTTTTAGTATTTTCTTTTTATCACCCACATAACAACAACCAAAACAACAACTAAGTACTATAAAGAACATCCATTACAACCAACACACAGATACACCAGACACACACTCACACAAATACTGAACATGAACACGCAAACACACACACATACACACGCAAAATAGTGAAATAAATAGCTAAATGAAAATGAGTTTATATAAAGAAGGAAAACATAAAACTGTGATTACATTTGATTGTCTTGTCGAAGCGTTGATAAGCGAATGTTGCATAATTATTGATCGAAAAAGAAAATGGGAAATACGAAATATGAAATATGAATGGAATGGATTTTCTGAAACCGCTTTTGAGTTCTAGTATTGGCATACGTACGGTCTGTCGAGAGTAAGACAGCGCATAAGTAAATAAATATTTAATTAGCCGAAATATTAAACTTCAAAAGATCTTCTAAGGAAAATACAAATTATAATTATCTAAGTTATTTGGGATTACATATATTTGTGAAGCCTACTTTTATTTTTCAATACCTGTAACAGCTGATTCCAAGCTGAAAATGAAGACAAAACAAACCTTCGATTTAGTTCCGCATTTCACTGATCGATTTCTGTATGTAGTGCACTTTAGTTAAAAATTAAAGTCTGAGATTTTACATTTATGTATGTATATGTTCGAGGTATACATATACACCTACTGAAAAGGAAATCTAAAAAAAAATAAAATGATAAATTAAGTTTATTGAACTACAGAAAACACACACAAACGTATATGAATTTGACTATGGCTATGTATGTATGTAAAAATCAAGAAAAACAAGGAATGTAGATGGAGATGGAGAGGAAAGGAAAGAAAAGGAAAAGAAAGGAATATAAACTATGCTATACTAAATTTTCACACCAGGCATATGATTTCTATATATAAATGTATGAATATCTAAAGAAAACGCAAGCGAGACATTTTAAGTAACAGCTTGAATATATTTTAAACACAAATTCGGGTTAAAAATTTACGATTATGCCATACATTTTTGTGTAACATATAAAAAACTACGAGTAAGCTAAAAGAACAACAGTCACGGAAATGAAAAAAAAAACATTGTAACAGAAACTCACAAAAAGCATGAAGAAGGAAATGGAAAACTGAATGAAATTAAGCATTAAAAGTATATGAACGAACCTAAATTCAATAAACTTGTTGCTAAAATATAATAAAAAAAATATAAAATAAAAACCAAGCATATTAAAAGTTTTCAATATCGGGAGAATATGTAAGCACGACGCATGTGCTGAGGGATTTCAAATTTAACGTATTCCACTGCTTGCCCTGCTTGCTTAGCTGGATTTTAACACGTACGCCTAACTGCACGCTTTGACTTTGACTGTTATCACAGTAATATTTCTGTGAACTTTTTCTTTCCAGTTTGTTACAGCTGAATTTGGACGAATGGTCTTCATTTATGACAAAATGGACAAGGATTTACATCTCGAAAAGTGGCCGATGTCACTCCACTTCACGTTTTTCATTCGTTTTTCCATCGTAGTCCTGCTGGTGTAGGTATAGCTCTTGGGCTCAATAGAACTTTGGCTATATGGATTCTAAATCGCCAAACCTTAAACATCACAACTGTTCGCTCCTTTTACGACACTCTGAATCTATGTTTTTAGCTAGTTACGAATAAAAAACCAATGAATAAATTCGAAACTTTACCACTTTTGCTGCCAATTCTGGCTTTTGCAAAGGAAAAACACTAGGATCCTGTAGGTCAACATTGACTGTATTATTACTCGCTGATGACTGACAACTGACTACAGAGTGCCATTCGATTTTGGCTTTTTATACCACTTTCTAATCTGGCCGCCCCGAGGATGTGGTAGCACGATCTGAGGCCATGGCCCGGTTCCAGTTTCCTGGTGAATTCAACAGACTCCTGAGGTAAATAAACAAAAATAAATAAAGTTGAGAGCATCAATCAGGATTAAAACAAAAGAACGGATAATATAGATGTCATTATCATTCAATATAACTATTTAGAAGTCTAGTGGCAGTGCTATATATCTTAAATTTATTACACCTTAGTGACCGTTTTATCCGATTTTATTAGAAGAAAAGGTTGTATGGAAAAAACTGGCATAATTTCTTTCTGATATCTAAGTGTCAATGAAGACACACACAACGGCAGGACAAACTTGGCTTATACTCAGATACTTCATCCGGAATTTTAGAAATTCCTTGCAGTCAAATATTTATTTTTTTATTTATGGAGAGTAAGATCAATATTTATTCATTAAGCAATATCACTTTGGGCGAATCATCATTTGCATTACTTTATATGAATAGTAATACCCGCGCCAATGATTCCAGCACATTCCAACCGCGAACATGTCCACGCTGCCATTCACGTACATGCCGAAAAGGTTACTGAAATCATGAGATTATAAATTATCATTACAATAAAAAATTTAGTCACATGGTACATACCTGTGGTGACAATCATTGTGCCACCAGGCCCCCATGAATACCGCTGCACAGTTTCTTTTCGCGCTCGCATCGTTGTCCCTATCATATGTGCTAAATTTTTGGTTCTTGTGATAACTCAGAGAATCACCCGCATCTCCTATAAAGTGTCCCAACTTTGACATCCGATACAAATCATTTTCACTCTCGATGTAGAACTCATCGTACTGGGCAAACCGCGTGTTTCCCTCAAAATCTTCCAGGTATATGTATAGCTCTTGGGTCTGTGACTTCGTTATGGCATGCAGCTTATCCAATCCTATGAAAAAGTCGCCTCTGACGTTTCCGAATCCCCTCTTGTACGCATTCCAGTTACGGAAGAAGAGGAGCTCTTCGTTTGTTCGACGGGCGATCACAGTCCAGCCAGGACCCGCGATCTTGGCATCGCAGAAAACTTCGAAGGGTTCTTGGTTCCCTACCTGTATGGTATATATACCATGGGCACCAGGATCAATGGGACATTGGGTATACGGATTCTGAAAATCCAATTCTTGTGCGAAACTCTGCAAGTAAGTTTGTTCTTTGACATCTGCCAATCCTTTGCTTTTGCCCAGGAAAAGCACCAGCAACCAGTAGATCCACATTGACTGCATTATAACCGGCTGACAACTAACTGCCGAGGGAAAGTGCCGAGTGGCTTTTTAAACAACTTTCTAATCTTGATTTTTCTTATCGTCTATTAGTTTTTGTCTGATTTCAAAGTCTGATATAAATTTTCCAGGAATGTTACGTAAATAAAATACAATACACAACAAATATTGATTCTTCAAATAATGCCAAATGTTCAAGTGAAATAAAGATTAAAGCTTTCGACATTCTCCCCATAGACAGGGCCTTCTCTGCGTTGCACACATCCACTTTTACCACAAATACAATATACCCTTTAACTCATCGAGTACGGGTATAAATAAGCTCCGTTTGGAAAGCTTTTTTTATATAGTTTCCCTAAATTCTATAGATTTCTTATGTTTACGATACTCCAAGGGTTTTTTTCCCTGATTTTATGACACGGGACCTCTAGCTTTTATATCTTTACTTATCTATAAAACAGGACGTCGGTTTCTGTTCCAACACTTCCATACATACATACGTAAGTTATAACTCTAGAACGGCTGGACCGAATGTGAAAGTTTTAATCAATCGCAATCCTTAGTCTGAATATACAAGAAGAAGATGAGAAGGAACAGAGAAAAATAATAAGAGTGTCATGCATAGCGTGAGACGGAATGGGAAAAACAGTCAACTGAAGATGACGGAAACGGGAACGGAAGATTGGGTTTTTCATACCCTCCAATTATTTCAAAAATAGATTTATATTAAACGTATTATTCGATTCAGTTCTCATTCATGTAAAGACAGAATAAAACCAAACGGAAACAGAACTAGCGAAATAATTGAATTAAAAAAAAACGGCAATCTCCTGAAATAATTCTTCTTTTAAAGTTTGGGTTTCTTACCGACGAATTCAATCGAATACAAACCAGGTTTTTTAATTATCGCTCTCTCAATATGTAATATATTATTAGCAAATTAGTAGTTATATGTAGTTACCATGTAAAAAAAATATTTACATGTTTGGTGGTTCTTTTTGTTCACCTGTTTAAATAAAGGGGGCTGTGTGGGTTAAGATGAATTGCCCGTTCAACAGCACTGACTAGAAATAATAATAAATAAAACTAAAGAAGTCAATTTTAGTGCAATTCAATCGCATAAAAACGAAAGTATATCTACAATTAATTTCAAACTAAGTTCCGTCTCAATCATGTTTAGAAAATTTCAATGCAATAGCATACAAAATTGATCGAGAATCGCATTTAAATAGCTGTATCTTTTTAATAAAGTGAAGAAAGTGACGAATGTAACGATACAGATAGTGACTATCTTTCAGCAGATAAGCATAAAATTATATCAAAAGATATCTAATCGTACATGTAAATGTATGAATCACTCTCTTGGCATTGTGTACGGGATCGAAGCAAAAGCTTTTCCAGCGAATTAAATAAAACTATCAATAACTGATTGAATAAAAAATAAAAAATCCGCAATTGTGCTAACTCAAATACTGTGATAAAATAAAAATGAGCCAAGTGAGCATCTTTAATTTGCCAAACGAGTGCTTCTTTACAATAATTAAGTACATAAAAAAGAACTGCGAGAGGGAGAGACCACTGGCAACCGACAAAATAAAGTATGCCGATCTCATTAGTTTCTTCGCTAGCTGCAAGACGTTTGGCAGTTTGCTCTGTGAATGGGATACGGATATATACTTCAGGCTTGTGAAGTATGTAGACCTGAAGAGCAGCAGCATTCACATTGACTTTGAAGAGCTGCATATCCGGTTAAAGAATACCTCAGCAAAGCACAAGGATGCCTATTGGAGCTCCCTTAGTCTTGCCATCAGGGACGCAGGTCAGACCGAAGTCGTACTACGCTACGCACCTGAATCACTCCGTAGTGATCACATGGAAGCAATTCACACCGTGATAGATCAACTCCAAAACAAGCCAAATCTTAAAGAGTTGGACATTTCTATTCCGGGTGAGCATTCTACAAGTTAACACTCGGTAGCGGAGATATGCATTTTGGGCACTGGGTTCTTGCCTTTTCTAAAATAAATTTTATTATATCTCGTTATTGGGGACTTAACACAAAAAATTACATTTATGCTAAAAGTTTCCACTTTTTACGCTGAATTGGGAGGTTAAGGGCGTAGCTTAATAATTTTTGATATTAGTTGTTGTAGTCTTAACTCATCATCATTAATAGAAACAGTATTAAATCAAGCACTAAGCTTCGGCCAAAGCTGTAAGTAATTGTCTTATCTTAATGTTGAGCTGATCGGCCAACAGCAACATAAATGCGATCCTGCATTGTATTGTATTGTTTGTTTATTGTGTATCCTAGTGCTACAAGCAAGGGGCTTATAATTAGAGCACTAGTCACTAGGTGTCACATTAGTTTGGTATTAAACTTAGAGCTAAATGAATATTTTAATATGACATACTAATTATTGGTTACATATGTTGATTTCTTATACCCGTACTCAAAAAAGAGTTAAGGGGCATATTAGATTTGTGGTAAAAGTGGATGTGTGTAACGCAGAGAATGAAACATTTCCGACCCCATAAAGTATATATATTCTTGATCAGCACCAATAGCCGAGTCGATATAGCCATGTCTGTCTGTCCGTCTGTCTGTCCGTCTGTCTGTCTGTCTCGATGAGCGCCTAGATCTCAAAGACTATAAGAGCTAGGGTAACTAAATTTGGTTTACAGACTCATGTAATATCCCACTGCTACAAGTGTATTTCAAAATTTCGCCCCGCCCCCTTCCGCCACAACAAAGGACGAAAATCTCTGGCAGGCACAATTTTAAAGATGCGATAAAACTAAAAACGCAGTATCGTAGAGAATGCCCATATCTACCAGATTGCCGAATCTGAATTAGATCGGATCATAATTATAGCCAGAATGAAGAAATTAATTTTCAGTTGGTTCCCTCGCCCCCTCCGGCCGACGAGCAAGCTACTCATTCTCTTTCTCGCTCGCACACTCTGCCACGTTCAGCGAGCGAGCAACCCCTAGCGAAGGAGATGTAGAATATAAATGGTACATGTACAATCTACATGTTAGATGTAAAATATACATGGTAGATGTAGATAACAGATGTAGAAAAAAAATGTAACGTGGCTCACACTCATATATTCTATTTAACGGTCGACTAAGATATAATTGGACGTCATCGGCGTACATGTGCACTTTACAGTCGGACAACACTATTGGCAAATCGTTTACATAAATCGAGAACAATAACGGGCCAAGTACTGATCCCTGTGGGACACCACACTTAACATAGGCAAAGGACGACATTTTCCCTTCAGCAACAACAGCCTGGCTCCTATTTAGCAGATAGGACGATAGCAACCGTACTGCTGAGTCAGAGAAGTTGTAGGATTCTCGAAGCTTTGCGATGAGGATGCTATGGTCAACTGAGTCAAAAGCTTTAGTGTAGTCCAGAAGAGTTAGGAACGTTACATTTCCGTCGTCCATTCTTTCACGGATATCCTACACAATTTGTATCATTTCAGTTGTACAACTACTATTTATTCCGAATACAGATTGATTGTTGTTTAGTAATGTGTGCTCTGTAAGAAATGAATTTATTTGTTCAGCTACCAAGGTCTTGAACGCTTTTGACAGGGTCGGGAGTATTGATATTGGCCTATAGTCTGCAGAGTTTGCTTTTGGGATAGGGATTTTTTTAGCCTCCTTCCACTTTTCCGGGAACGTTGATGTGGTAATGGCTGTGTTGAAAATGTTAGTTACTTGCATGATGATTCTAGGGAGTATTATTCTCACAAATTTCGGGTTCATATCGTCTAGGCCAATAGCATTTGATTTAATCTTAAGAATGGATTCTAGAACATCACAAGGACTAACACAACAGAAACTAAAGCGAGGAACAGTATAATTATAGGGCGCTGATGTCAAATTCAGGGTTGGTGGTGGGTCCGGTACAACTAATTGCAAAAATTGTTTGCTAACTTCATTTACGTCCATGTCAACTAGCGAATTTCTTGTTTTTTTGCCAATTCCTATACTTTTAATCATGTGCCATTTCTGCATGCAACGCAGAGCGCTGTTAAACTTTGACGAGTAGAAGGCGGTCTTGGCAGAGTACATTAGTTTAGTTACGTCTGATCTTAATGATTTGTACATGCTAAAGTGGCTTTCAGTCTTGTATCTTTTAAATTTTTTAAAAGCCTCATTCCGTTTGATGATACCCAGCTTTATCTCCGTGTTGAACCATGAGTTATCTGTTCGTTTGACTGTCTTTCTCTTAATAGGTACATGTTCACTGTAAAGATAGTCAATGTTTGATTGAAGTTGGGCAAGCTGAGAATTTACAGACAACATATGTATAATGTATTGATGTCCAGTCAAGAATGCTAATGTCAGTGTGTAGTTTTTCAAGGTCAAGGTTCTTAAAGTCTCTGTAAAAGGTGTCATAGTTATGGTAGTCAGGATTAAAATCATAGGTCAAGAAAATAAGGTCATGTTTTGAATATCCTGGTGCTGTGAGTTGGTCATATAGTAGAATTTTGTCAGTACTGTCGACAAAGAATATGTCTATTAGTGTGTTTCTGGTTTTTGTAAAGTGTGTGGGGAGCTGGTGGTTCACTATATTTAAGTCAAGGCTCAACATGCTTTTTGTTAATGAGGATTCTCTAAGAATATCACAATTAAAGTCACCTGCTAGGATTACGTTTGTATAAGTCAAGGAAATGTCAGTAATAAGTGATGTCAGGTCTGAGTAGTCAATGTTTCGATTTGGTCGATATATGCAACCAAGAAGCATCTTTCTTCTATTGATGGTGATCGTTAGAAATATGTATTCTGTGGCACTATCTGGTCTTTGCTTACAGAGGAGTTTTGCGGATATCTTGTTATTTATGTATATTGCAACGCCCTCGGCATGCCCTACACGATCAGAACGAAATACATTGTATCCTCTACATTCAATTAACGAGTCACTTAAGTCGGGGACACACATATAACATCCACACCAGAGTCGATAAACATATGTCTGAATTCGTCAATTTTTGTTGTCAAGCTCTGTGCATTGATATGGCAGATTTGCAGACCCGATTTTTGCTTCACCAGAATTCTGAGGACCTGAGATGTATTCACATTGGTTATTTCTAATGAACCGTCCATATCAAGTGTGTTTTAACACAACGAAGAATTTCATTACAGTAAGTACAGTTAAGGGCCCACTTAAAAATAAAATACAGGAAGGTGGTTAGATTGGTACTTGGTACTTATAGCTAATATGAAAAATTTGCCTTTAGTTCTATTATTGACGAAACGAGCTATTCTCGGCTCCAGCTGCATGACTCTCAGTAGCAGCTTGCATCTCTCTCAGGTCCTCAGTTTTGAGAACTTCCCAGATCTCACTTTCTTGGGTCACTTTGACGTGAACCGTACCCCTGCGCGTAAACACGGACTGCAGCTTCAGGTGCTTCATCATTTTCAGCGCTTCTCTAAAAATCTGACAGTTTTCCCTGGTAAGCTGCTCGTTGACATATACTGGGGCTGGTGAGTTTAGGCCGAGTAACTGCAGAGCTAGGGGCTGCTTGGTAATGCCGCTTTGTCGCGCACCCGTTCCAGCTTGACAATGATAATGGGGTCAACGATGGAGTGGGGAAGATTTTTGTTCGGCCTCATACGATAAATATCCCTAATAGCAGGCGCAGGCGTGTGACTTAGGCTGAGGCACAAGTTGTTGAAGATATGCTTCAGCTTTTCACCTTCGACGTACGGAACTCCATGGATCCTCAGGTCGCATAAGCAATTTGGCCTTAGCCTGTGCATCGAGTCTTAACTACCTCGAGTACTGAAAAGGTCGCTGCTCATTAATTCTCTTCTACTATGGCATAATTCGTCGTGTCGTTATATCAAAAGCCACTACTTTAACTAGAAACATTTGATTATTTTCAGGCTACACCCTAGAGGGTCTGGGAAGACTTCAAGGCCTCGAGACACTCCGTTTAAATGTACGGATGGATATTGATGATTTGGTCGAAATCTGCCGCCTGAATAAAAACTTGCGAGTGCTGGAATACAAGAATAACGAAACGGGTGGAAAGAGGCTGGCCGCGATAGCCCCGCATTGCGAAAAGCTGGAAGAACTCGCCATCAAAATGAGACCCAACAGCGATGCAAGCGAATACACCCCTTTGGCTACGATTCCCAGACTGCAAAACTTAAAAATCGCAGGCGTGCACGAGAAGGGTACTCTTCAGCCTCTGCTGAATGGATTTGCCAGCAATCAGAGCAAAGTGCTCAACAGTTTGTCCATAGATGATGCACCATTGGACCAAAACGAAACGCAGGCAATGGCCCAGATTGAAACCTTAACGCAAGTGAAGTGTGGATTTGACGATCCCCAGAGCATTGGGCTCTTGTCCCAACTGACCAAACTCGACTACTTGGAAATACTGTCCAAACACGAGATTTTGGAAATATCCAAGCAAGTTCTGAGCATTCTAATTGAGTCTAAGGTGGAAACGATTATTGAGCTAGTCAATTTGTCAATATTATACAGACCAAAAGGTGAACTTTTGCTTTACATGAGAGAGGAGAATGCGAATGCCTCCGACTACAGTCCACTTTCGACTCTGCCTGGTTTGTCTTCTTATCAAATTCACGGATGGCCCCATACTGGTTCACTTAAGCCGATTCTCAATGGATTCAGAAAGGCACTAACTTTGACAGACTTGTCTTTAGAAAATATAACAGCAGAGGAAATCGCAGCAGTGTCTGAAATCGCATCCCTGAAAAGATTGCAGTGTGGATTTGCTGAAACACAAAACGCTGAGCTCCTAGCGCAGCTACCCGTGCTCGCTGAATTGATTATTACAACTGTGCCATCATCCCCAGGGTCCCTCAGTGGCCTCCTGGCTGCTCTGGCTTCGAGGAAGTCGCATACACTACAAAAGTTTCGTTTATTAAAAGGAAAGATCGATCCCGTGGAGGCAAAGGAACTGGCCCGCCTGAGATCTTTGCGAACTTTGGAGTGTCAGTTTGCTGATCCTCTGGACATTCAGCTCCTGTCTCAACTAACCGAACTCAAAAAGCTGTCTCTGAATGCGAACGAAATGTTTGGCAAGATATCGCCTGGAGTCCTTAGAGCTATAAAGTCCTGCAAAAAGTTAGCTAGAACTAAGATAGTAGCTCATCATAAGCAGACGTGTTCCTGTCCTGTCGACACGGCATCGTCTGAGATGTTTGAAATTTTGGGGGCCTGTCAGGGTGAAATTTACATACAGATCAACGACAGGAGCATATCGTTCAATCGGAGAAAAAAGGAATTGCACGTAGAGTTTGATTTTTTTCAACAAAATAACCTTGCGATAGAAACTTTCGCCCGCCTTGAGTCTGTAAGTCATATAAAAATAAAAGAAAACCATGAAGCTGGCTCATTGAGAGAGTTCTTCGCTGCCCTAGCAATGAGAACAAATCACGAGCTAGAGAGTCTGTCCATAACCGACAGCTTGCTCGATTTCAGTGAGACTACGGAATTGGCCAAAATTACTTCGTTGACGAGCTTCAAAAGCGACCTCTCCGATGCACGAAGCTTTCAGCATTTACTCCATTTGAGCAATTTCAATGTCTTTGAAAATAAAATGGCTGGCAGGTTTGTAAATAACTTCTAACTTTGCAAATTCGATCGCATAGGTGTAAACTGTTTGTTTTGCTATTCCCATTCCCTAGACACATCGTATTCGATAAGTGCACTGGGAAATTGACCGTGGCAAACAACTGGCCTTGTATGGCTGACTTACCTAACGCCACGGATCTAAGCCCCTTTGCTAGCCTGCAGAATTTGCTGCACGTAAACATTTTTGGGCGCTTCGAAGGTGGCTCCATGCATAATTTCTTCGGACAGTTGGCTGCGTGGCAAGGCGAGACTCTGCAGGAACTGACAGTGGGCAAACCTTACGAAATGAGCAATGCTGATCTGACGGAAGTCAGTAGAATGACGTCTCTCCGAACCCTGGCCTGCGGCTTATCCCATGTTAAGGACATAGAAATAGAACAGCTAGCACATCTTTTCCAGCTGACAGTGCTGATTGTTGAATCCCATCAAACGGGCTCCCTAAAGAACTTTCTTGGGATTCTTGCCTCCAGCGAGTGCCCCACACTAGAACATCTGGCTGTAAGGGGCGTAAGTCTCACCCCCCAAGAGGTGGCCAACGTATCCGCTATAAGTTCCTTAAAGCGACTCGAGTGCGCGTTCTTCATCACAAAGGGTCTCAATTACTTGTCCCAGCGAAATCACATCGAGGATCTGGGCATAACAACTAGGAAAGGTGAGATGTCTCAGCTAGATCAGGAGATCCCAGTCAAAGATACGTTGAGCATTGAGGGATTGGCCGAATCTTTGCACCTCGAAGAGTTGGCCATCTCCTCTGGCCCCGAAAGGGGATCTCTAGAAGGTCTCTTCCGGGCACTTTCACTGAAGGCTACACCTAAATTAAAGAATTTGGTTTTAGAGCACACTTCCATCGACCTTACAGAGGCTCGCCAGCTCGTGCAGGTTAATTCAATCACAAGCCTAAAGTGTGCCTTCAAAGACGAAGAAAGCTTCTCCCTTTTGGCTACCTTGTCTAATCTTGAGAGTTTGGAAATCACTTCGCGACATGAATTTACAAATATTTCGGAGCATCTCCTTGACATCTTCCGAGAATGTCGAAAACTTAAGACTATTGATTTGGGATATACAGACTGCAACCTATGCTTTGAGTTCCTGGAAAATGCAGTGGACATACTGAAATCAGCGAGAAATCTTTCAACACAAGGTCCATTGGAGATACGGATTACCCTATCATCTCTTGCATTAAAAAACAAGGTGAGTGTGCTAAACGTATACCCGTATTCTGCAAGGCATCCACAAAGTCTAAAATTGTGCATTCGTACTATATTTCAGATAACTGCCATCGATAAAACGTATTTGATTGTCACCGAAAATTTCGTTGACCATTTCGAGGACGCGAGCGAGGACGTGAGCGACAATTAGAAATAGTTATCTTAGTTTTTTTAAGAAGCTATCATTCGCTGGCTCTACAATTGACCAAAATTATTCGTCCCATTACCCTATGTCTAATTTCAAAGAATAAAATAAATTTTCCAAGAATGTTGCATACAATGTATATTTTATAATGCCACTTGAAGATCTGATGTGCAAATACGTCAAATAGGAGTGTTATAGTTTTCTTAAGTTTATGATACCCCAGGGGATTTTTCCATTGATTTCACGATATGAGATCTTCAGCTTTTATATGTGTAGTATCACTTTTCTAGCTGCACTAGATATGGGTCTTCCAATTATATTTTCATATTTCAAACGGAACTAAAGAAATATAATTGTTTGATCGAGGAGCGTTTTTTTCCAAAATATGTAGTTGTTCAAGGATGGGGGTGTGTCAATCTCCAGTGAGCTAATTATACTCGATGCGAAGAAAGTTGCTGTAATCCAAGAATAATCCGAAAGTCGAGGGGGTTCAGTTGAGTACTAGCCAATAACTATTTATTCGGTTTCAAATAATAATAATAATATAATATAATATAATATAATATAATATAATATAATATAATATAATATAATATAATATAATATAATATAATATAATATAATATAATATAATATAATATAATATAATATAATATAATATAATATAATATAATATAATATAATATAATATAATATAATATAATATAATATAATATCTCTCTCTATAATATATCACGGGTCTCAGCCCTGTTACACAGTCACAGTGCTATGCAACGTACATGGCCTTCAAATTTAAATTTGAAATGCAATCCAAATTTAATTTGATCCGAATGTAGCGAACGGTACGCGCCGTAAATTCGATTGGTTTTATAGAGCAGCGGTAGCGGTCAAATGCGACCCTTCCTACTGAATCCCAGTGGATGTGGTCACATGACACCTCCACGGTATAATAATAGCCGTTTGAACCATTTTCTACATCAATATAGTTGATTGCGTAAACTTGTCTCAGCTGGACGACTAGCTCACATTTGTTGTCTGTATTACGGCGCGCATGAAACTTTTCGGATGCCACATCTTCCCCCGTTAACATGGCGACTCGGTGGGGCATATTGATTCCGGTATTGATTTGATCAATGGCGTCCAGTAATTGATCCGGTGTGAATATGCCAGAGGGACGCACCACATGCAGCAGTTCATGGATACTCATCAGCGGGAGACGTACGAGGGATAACAGCGTCTGGATGTCCTCGCTCGGATTGTTGTCCCTCCATTTGCATACAGACCGAAAGATTTCCACTTCAGGAACCCAGAAATTGTCTCGTCGCAAGAATTCCTCAAATGACTCCTTGGACAGCATTTTAATGGAGTCTTGCTTAAGTAGATCGACCACATTGTTGTCCATAAACTTGAGGCATTCTTTGGTCAGCTGGTCCGGATCGTATCGGCGCGCTGCATTCAGGATCACGCACACGTTGCTGACGGCAATACTCTTCTGGAGATGATTGGTTATAGCCGTTTCAACGTACTCCAAGCCGTAAAAATGCGCCAGATTGAGCACATCGATTATCTTATCCACATCCAGTATGGAAAGGGGTAACTTGCCCGAGTCAAGGTACTCGAGGATTATCTTGAAAGCCTCCAGTGGCACCTCCAGTCGAATTTCCCGTTGCTTGGACTCAGCCATGTCCCCGTGGAGCATTGCGTGGAAATACTCACTGCGCGTCGCCAGAACAAGACGGTGGGCCGAAAGCCGCTGATCCTCCACCAAGAACACCACGTCCGAGTAGAGCTCGTTCATGCAGAGATGGCCCATGTCAGATGCTAAGCCGCGAATGTCGTCGGTATTATCTTCCCGATCACTCATTTTCTGGATTTCTGTGTGTCGAATGGCGAATGTCTACATTTGTATTATTTACGTTATTTAAACTTACTTTATTTTGGTTTCTTCTTACCAGATCGCTGCCGGGAGGACTGACGTATTTCACTTTGGGTAGGTTTCGCACACAAACGCACCAAAAAAATGTAAGATGTTGCTGATGCTGATGCAACATTGTAATGCAGCATGCACCATGTTCCCAATTGGCAGTTGGGCCCGCAACCTTTTCGTTAAATTTTTTCATTTTTTAGGTTTGGTTAACGAATTTTAGCTCCAAAGTCTCTCCATAGATTTTAATGAGCAATACCTTAAACGACGCCAAATTAATGCACCTATACACAAAAAAATAGAAGACACAGGATATAATTTTTTTTCGACTTTTCCTTTTTAAAGTTAAAATTTCCTAAAAAAAATACCGCACAAAAATTATCATTTTTGCATTTCAATGCTTTATATTTCCCAGACAGTAAGCTGAAATCACAAAATGTTTGGGCTTAACTTCTAGCTGATTTAATTATCTTTTCAAATCAGCAAAGTTCTTTACAAACAGACGTAAGATAATAGAGTTATGTGAAAAAAAACGAGCGCTACCTCTGAAAAAATACCAGACTTCAAAAATTCTTAAAAAAAAAGTTCTGCCATAGAAAAAAAACCATAATTCTTTAAAAAAATGTAAAGCCCCATATCTATCAGAAAAAGTCGGTTTGGATCCTTGAGGAAAAAAAAGTTCGATTTTGTCGGGTAGTGTAATTTTATGTGTTCCTGTGTTCCTAGAGTGTTAGAGCGAGACAAGTGTTATAGCAATTGTGTATGTGTTAGAGATCAACCTGCCTTCTGCTTGTTTCTCAGCTCAGCTCACACTCTGAAAAGTATTTTGTGTGCAAATAATAATAATAAATTAACTGAATGGTAATATTTCCCGCGGCTTAACACTCATGTTCCCCTGTTTACATAGAAGGGGGTTATGTGGGTTAAGATGAACCAAGTTCATTTTTGACCGTTTAACAGCACTGAGTAGCAATCCTAATAAATATAACTAAAAAAGTCAATTTTAGTGCAATTCACTTGCAATAAAAACGAGAATATAGCTAGAATTAAGACAGGAGCGCCATCAATAATTGCTCCCTGTAGCAGTTGGGTAAATAAAAGAGCACAATAACGTAGCAAACAAGAACAACAGAAAAATTCTCAAAATGGTGAGTAATAGCCGAGATATGAACAACACAACACAACAAAAAAAAGGCTAACAAAAGATCAGTTAGAGGCTTTGTGGCGCCGCCCCATAATCAAGACTGTCTGTCGCATACAGTATACATATAACACCTATGATGATAGCTCTCAATGGAAACGATGCGAATGCAGTGTTGGTGTAGGGGCGGCAGGCAGCCCATGACCTAAAACAATGCCCATATATGGTAGTCGTGGCTGGCTCCTCCGTTTACCGGTCGCACTCATCCCCCACAGGGGATTACGTTTGTGGAGGTTATCAGCATTGACAGAAAATGACTCAATTTTATCGACTCGACCAATTAAGTTTCTCTTTTTCGTGTTTCTTTTGTTTTTTTCTTTAGTCGGAAATGCAAATGGACTGTGCTTTGGATTTGATGCGACGACTGCCGCCGCAGCAGATTGAGAAGAACCTCATTGACCTGATCGACTTGGCTCCAGATTTGTGCGAGGATCTGCTCTCGTCCGTGGATCAGCCGCTAAAAATAGCCAAAGATAAGGAGCATGGCAAAGACTATCTGCTGTGCGACTACAATCGCGATGGCGACTCGTACCGATCCCCTTGGTCGAATTCATACTACCCCCCACTGGAGGATGGCCAAATGCCCTCGGAGCGGCTGCGTAAACTAGAAATTGAGGCCAATTATGCCTTTGATCAGTATCGAGAGATGTACTACGAGGGCGGTGTATCCTCCGTATATCTGTGGGACTTGGATCATGGGTTTGCCGCTGTGATACTCATCAAGAAGGCTGGTGATGGTAGCAAAATGATTCGTGGCTGCTGGGACTCCATACACGTGGTGGAGGTGCAGGAGAAGACCACAGGAAGGACTGCCCACTACAAGCTCACCTCCACGGCTATGCTGTGGCTGCAGACAAACAAGCAGGGATCGGGCACCATGAACTTGGGGGGCTCACTGACGCGCCAGACGGAGCAGGACGCCAACGTTAGTGAATCGTCGCCGCACATTGCCAATATTGGCAAGATGGTCGAGGAGATGGAGAACAAAATACGAAACACACTCAACGAGATCTACTTTGGCAAGACCAAGGACATTGTAAATGGCTTGCGCAGCACACAATCGCTGGCCGATCAGCGCCAGCAAGCGGCTATGAAGCAGGACCTGGCCGCGGCAATACTGAGGCGCAATGTGAAGCCCGAATCAAACTGAGAACTGAGCGGCTGAAGGCGGTATTAGCACCAGCATTAGGCGTGGCCCGCCCGTATTATGTGGCCCCCTCATAATTCAATTTCAATATACATACACTTATCCATAGCCCGATCTATACGTTACCTTTTGAATACTGATTTATGATTGGATGTAAAAATATGTGAATTATCCCCCCATTGCTGTATACGAGATATTACCCGAATGCTATACAAACGAACCATAATAATATTTGGGTAATATTTCGTTATTTAACGACTCTAGTTAAATTCCCTAATAATTACACCCTTTCCACAAGAGATCGATCACTATTTGGGCTGCGTATACGTTGGGAAGCAGACAGAAGAAAGAAACTTAAATATTAAATACGCATTTCTAGGCAGTAAATTTGTTAAATGAGAGAAATTGTTAAACCAGATACATATGTATTAATGTAAATTGCCCGCCCGTTTCACACTGTCACAATACCAAACGTCCTTTACCCCCACCCACGCTCCCATCCCATACATAATAACATGGTTGTTGTGCTCCACAGTTTACAGTTCAGCCAAACGCCAACTTCGCCGCCCTCAAGACAGTATCTATAAGTATTTGTATCTTATTTGTATCGAAGTCGCGGCAAATGAATTTTTGACTTGGTTCCTTCCCAACAACATTTTCATTTGCCAGCGGCCTGTTCTTAACTCTTCCGCGAATAAATCATGTGTTTTATGAATTGTGACTTTTTGACTGTGTGTGTGTGTTCGTGTGTGTGTATTTTAACAATAAGAAGCTCGAAGCATAACATAAATATTAACTAAAATCGCTTTGTATTTGTATTAACTGAGGAAATGCACATTACCTTACACTTTCTTGACTTAATTATTTTTTAAAGGAACAATTTCAAAGGCAAAGGAGAAATTTTATACAAAAAGAAAACTAATAAATATTGAAATATTACTTCTCGCCTTATCAATGCTGATCAGCTGGTCATTCTATTTGGCAGGGTGGGGGGATTTATCATGAAATAGGCCAAATATGCGCTGCATTCTGATAAGGGAAAAATGATAAAAACATTCCGATGTTTGGTATATGGGCTACCTTCATTATACGATTGCATTTTTATTATGAAAAATCGTTAACTGTTCTACGAATAAAAAGGGTATTTAAATATACGATTAGGTGTGTGTACAAATCTGTATCTGCAAATGTATTTTAGTTATCAGTAAATAGTTCCAGTAGAAGTGTTTACCCGATGACGTAGCTTGGGTGTTTTATCATATATGTAAGTATTACAGAATACATATCGTTTATTTGTTTGTGTTACGAGCTATTTACAAAGAGGCGAGGGACATGAATATACATGTATATGTTTGTATGTATATGTATTTACTTACACATTAGCAACTGTATTCAAGTAATCAAAATTATCGTTCGAAATAGTTTTCAAATTTCATAAATTAAGTGTGTCTGTCGCATAGATATCTACAACTTAGGCTAGGTATTACGAATAAGTTAGATTTATTTAGTGGGAGAACGTGTGGAGAGAAGTAACTTCGATTACATACAATATTTTACACGGGTTCAGAAAGCGTAGCTGAAAAAGCAAACACAATTCGTAGTCGTCGAACGCAGACATTTCAATACACTTGAGGGTTTCATCGTAAGTTGGGAAGATCAGCAGCAGCAGCAGCAGCAGCAGCGCAGCTCCAAATATTTGTCCAGCAATAATTTCTCCCTTCTTCGCTTGCCTTGTCCTCCTCGTTCTCAAATTGAAATAAAAAAAAACAATACATATTTTGACTGTAGATTGTGCAACAAAAATATGCTAAAAGTCTCTTAGTTCCAGCTTAAGTCACAGCTTATTGCATTTTGGAAACTTCGAACTTGGTGTTGATGATCTCCTCATCCGAGTCTAGCACGGGCAGAGCGGAATCCGCCATCGATGAGGGTATGTTCTCCTCCACCCAACGCAGATCGTCTTCTTCAGTGGTTGTGGCTGTGCGCGAGTTCGTCGAAGTCTTTGGCGTGCCATTCTGCCCACGCATTTTAACGCCATAAGCATCGGCCACGAACTGGTCTTCCTCATCTGTAGGAGTCAAGCGAATTAGTACTGTAGGGCAGGGATTTCAAACTTAACCTGTCTTACCGTCTTCATCCTCATCCTCGGGACTGTCCAGGAGGGGTGTGAACGCATAGCGCTGATTGTTATTTGTCGGTCGCCATAGTATCATAATAACCAGCAACAGCACTGAGAACAGAATGTGCCAGAAGCCCGTATCGATCCAGATATTACGCCAGCCCTATGTGAAGCATAAATATACATACAAATGTAATTAGATATTGCCCATATTGCACACTCTCATGCTAACCAACTCACAGGCGTACAGTTCTCGGTTCTACGCAAACGCAACGCAAACAGCATGAAGATGACGGAAGCGATAACAGCAAAGATCAACGTGTTGGTGAAATGCCTATACAGCGATAGCTTCACCATGTTTCTAAAATATAAATAGCTCAGTCAACATTCTAATAGCCAACAAACTCTAGGGAGTAAGGGATACCTTCTTAGCCGAAGCGTTCTGGTTGTCTGCACTAGGGAGGTGAATATCCACCAACAGATGCCTGTATCGAGAACCGCAAGAGGAATGCTGGCCACCAGCAACTCGCTGCGATCGCTCTTCACACTGGTAATGCGCAAATAGCTCTCCACACAGGCCAGCACAAAGTAGAGAGTACCCACACCCACAACCCGATGCAGCATGGGACCCAAGCGAGGTCTAAAATAATCCGAGTGTACTATTTTGTAGTTTAAGATTTTGTTTGAGTCGACTCACTTGACAATTCCAAAGCCCAGACTCATGATGATGACCAGCATTCGAGCCAGTGTGCGCTTCGCACAAGATACAAATTCAGCGACCAGCTCCGCGTGCTCCACAGCCACTCCTGTGTTGGTGAGAGTTTGGTACTCGGCGTAAAAGAAGGCCTTCTCCAGCATTCCAAGCAGGATGACGCCACCAATCCAAAACTGAATTCTCAATAGATCTCGCCATTGGGAAAACGAAACGAATAGCCAAATGATGCCAAAGATCACATAAACAATGCACATGATCAGGTAGAACTAATAAATAAATACAATGAAGTGTAAACAAAACAAATGAAGCTATTATTGCTTACGGGCAGGAATGGCCAGTCTATGGCTGAGATAAAACCGTGCGGTCCAAGGAACTCAATGTGAACTATCGCATTGAATTGCTGATTCGGTTGTCCCGGTGCTATATTCACTTCGATCTCGTATATGCCATCCTCCTTAACGGTGGCCACCGAATTAGTTGTGGGCTGAAAGTAGAAGTAATTAGATATATTTCGTGTTTTTAAAACTGAGTGCTTGGCATTTTATCAGCATGTTGGCTTCTCAATGGTACGAACACGCACCCACACAGCAAAAGAACAACGATAAGCCGACTAGACTGATAGCACAAAAAATGTAAGCGAACGTATTTTTATGCTATCCAGATAGTAAAGTAATTGCTGTCTCCCACTGGGATTGAGGCATGGAAAAATTACCGAAAGTGGATGTTTGTTTTCCTTCATGGGATGCCTTGGCTCCGGCGTGGACGCTACTCCTTCCGCCGGCTTGTCCTTGTCTCCAACCAGCACAATGAGGTCGTTGCAGGCATACGTCCTTGTTATCTGTACAATAACATTGTTTATGCTCGAGTTCTGCTGCTGCGTAGGATTTTCTGCGATTAGCTGCAGCTACAAGAAACAAATACAGGTTAACGTTGCTGGCCAACAGACATGTCATGTGGGAAAAGTTTACCATCCGGTCATCGAAGATGCATGGATGCTCTGTGAGCTTAAAGGTTATGGTCAGATTCGTCTCCACTTTGGATGTGCATGCCACAACTAGAATAGACAAAAAAAAATCACAATACAGGAAGCACGGGAGGTGTGGGTTGGGTAAAAAAGCATTCGTCACACGTTTATGTACACACGTTGCAATAGTACTAACTTTGCGTGTAGATCTTGGTGTTGGCCAGCAGTGGCCGCTGTTCCCTGATATATGGCATATCCTGCAAAGAACGGTATCAAATGGATCATTAAGTTAGAATTGGACTCTATTTTCTTGGTTGTTCAGTTGGATTCTTACTGCATAAACTTTGATATCGACAATACCGGGGTCGGACTTTGCGGCTGTTCGGGAGGCGGCTGAAATAAGCGCCAGCGCGACTACGAAAAGCGTCGCAGTCTTCTGCATTTTGGTACCGTTTTTCTATGGCTACGTGACAATTTTAGCTTGTATGTTGTGCAAAAAAATCTAAATAAATAAGAATGTTATTTCCTCCTGGTGATGTGGATATAGCGATAATCATATTTCGTGCGATAACCAGAGCTGTAATTTTTCGAATTATCGTATCGTACGTTAAGTGACAACCCTGCAAACAGCTGTTGTGACATAACCTCGACTTCAAAAATTGCCAGAAAATGCTACGAAGAGTAAATAAACGTTTAAGTGTATTAAATTGTGTATTAAAATGCCTATGTTTGCCTATTTTAGGTACTGCCAAGTGTGCGGGTGGGTCTGCAATTCGTCAAGCCAACGACGACAGCTGTTAGATGCACCAGCGGCAGCAGCGTTTATGAGCCGGATTACCTGGAGGTTGGATTCGATTAAAAATTCCTCCATCCTTTATCTTAAAACTGATTATTTGCTTGTGTATTTCAGTCACTTAAGCCGAAATTCCCGCAGTACGAAAGCCTTAACGTTCAAATCAAAGGCTATGATTATCCGCAGCTGGAGAGCTACCAACGCTTCCTACATGGCGTGGCTGAATATCTGGAGCTCGATGTCTCCGACTGCTATGCCCTGCCGCCACAGCAAACCCAAGTCCAGCGCCTGCGTCCCAACTCCACAGTCGTTGAGTCCGATTACAAGTTGACCACGTACGAGCGCAGCCTGCAGCTGTGCAATGTCGATGCCCCCGTCTATCCGCAGTTTCTGCGCCTCGCGCAAGCAGCCCTTCCCGAAGGCGTAAGCCTGACAGTGCAGGAGCACACAGATGATTGCGAGGAGCGTCGCTATGTGCCCGACAAGGATCTGCTCGACCTCAAGGCAGAGCTGGAGCGCATGGGTGGGGCCAGCACCAAGAAAAAATAACTTTGGCAATTTGGCAAACATTTAATGCTAAGATTTAATGAATAACCTGTGTGTGTGTGTGGAGTATAGAGAGTACCTATGCATAAAAACTTTCCTATTTAAAGCTTTGCACTAAGTTGGACGGCAATAGTTACAAACGATTGGAAGACGGAAGCAGCTCTAAGCCTAAGCCAAAAAGGTATAGGTATAAACTTAGGAATTGCACTATGAATTATTCGATTAGACCACACCAAAGTGCACCACCTTGATGGACGAAGATGATGATGAGGCAGCGTTGGCATTTTTACTGCTGCTGCTCTGCTTCTGTTCATCCTCGCGGCGACGCGTTGGCGGCTTGGTCACATCTGAAATGTTTCATCTTGGTTATGAGAGATCTCCTTTGGCAAAGAATCTACGTACTTGTGTTGATCGGATTGAAATCCTTTAAGTAATCATCATGGGGATGACATAGTGGCAGGCTATCGGCCAGCTCCTTTTTCGGATTAGTCAGATGCCGTGCTGTCGGTCTGGAGTATCCATTTCGTTTCGGCGGCATTGGCTTCTCCTTGCGAGGAATCTCCTGTTAAGTTGGGTAGATGCCAAGTTAGAAGTTTAACCGAAATGCTTAATCAGGACGTAAATCTTACCGGCACCACTGCCACTTGAATTGTATCCGAGAACTTGACTTTGTTCTTCTCCGCTGTTTGAGACTTGGCACTGGGCGCACCAACCACTTCGCCGTTGCTGTTGGGCGCAGCAGCCGGATTGGACAGTATCGAAGCAGTTGGTTTCTTGAGCAGCAAACGCTTCTGATAGTCCTCACTGGACACCGTGGGCAGCATGGCGGGAATGTTGCCAGACACAAGTGGATGCTGGTAGAACTTGGGCTGGTAGGGGGCCGTTGGAGGTGGTGCATTGAACAGACTCAGTTGTGAGCTCTGCTCAGAGGTGGCTGGCGGAGGCTGAGGCTGAGGACGGGGCGGCGGACTGCTGGGCATGGGTAGGCCCACAGTTTGATCTGGCACATCCTGGGACCAAACATTGCCATTCGAATGGCCAGCTTTCACTGGTGTCTGCTGATGGCTGCCGCTTTTCAGAGAGAGACCCGCCAAAGAGCTGCTGGGAGGATGTGCTGCAATGCTCAACTTGGGCAGTGGCGGCCTCAGCTCTGGCTTGGGTATGTTGATCTTGATCATCTCTGCGTTGAACACCTTCGACTTGAACGATGGCAGAGGTGGCACATAATTCTTTAGGGCCTGCTGCTGACCCTGAACCTGACCCTGGCCAGTGCGCAACAGCTCGGAGCAGGTCGACTGCGAACAGGCTGATTCCGAGCGCAGATCACAGGTCAAGCTCAGATTGCCATTGGCGCGGTCCTCCTCATGGATTATGGCAGCCGCCTGACTGAACGACACCTGAGCAAATTCACCCAGACTGGTAATGCACTTGGTTAGATTGTACAGATCCATAAACAGATCATAGTCCGCCACATCCTCGGCGATTTCGAAAGCCTCGGCAAACAGATTTTTGCTGTGAAAAGAAATCCTTGATGAGTGCCAAGAATCAAAAATTGATTAAACTGAAAGTCGGGCAGACTTACCGCAGCAAAAAGAAGCAAAAGCGTCGCTTCAGATCGTACACCTGATCACTAAACTCGTCCTTCGTTTCCTCGGAGAGCGTGTGGGCGAAGGTCTTCAAAGCTCTGGCCATTAGCTCTATCCGCGGCCGACGCTGGTCACCGCCAAAGAACACATAGTTGGCTATTTTGTGTAGGGTTATCAGGCACATGGCTCCATATGTTTCCCAGTTGAGAGCGGCCAGGACATTGACAGCTCGATCCGGCTGCTGCAGTCGCAGGTATTTATCCGCTATGACGTCCGCGGTGAGGCCGGAGTTGTGTATATCGCCCCGCATGCCAGCCCCACCGAAGATGCGCATACAGGCCAGCGGACCCTGCTCATAGATCAGCAGCAGCAGACAGTCTGTCTGGGCATAGGTGTGCGTAAAGCTGCCCAGATCTGGCTTCCGACTAATGGCAATGTTCAGCAGCGTGGGCTGCGCAACAAAGTAATGGGACAGATCCAGCAGGCTCAGTGGCGTCACATTCTCGCTGACCAACTGATGGCCAATGGTGGCCAGTGCCAGGTCGAAGCACTGCAGCACAGATCGCTCATTGGCCACGCACAGCATGGCCGAGTCACAGTGCCAGGCACATTGATGGGGCACAATCTCAATTTGATTCACGTACTTCGTTGTCTGCAGGACGAGATCGTGCAGGCAAATGTTCTGGTCGATGCTGCCCAAGAAGAGCTTCTCCTGGTCGGGACTGAAGGCGAAAGAGCAGATCTGTGCGCCCATCGGAATGGAGGTAATTGCGGTGCGCTGCATCTTGCCAGTGGCCAGCTCGTAGGAACATATCTCGGCGCTGATTTCACCCTTGCGCGATACTTTCTGTTCCAGGGTGATGATCTGGCTCTCGCTGCTACGCAGAAAGTCCACGCACAGTGGATCGTTCTCCGACCAGCAATAGGCCATCGATTCCAGCTGCAAACTGATGGAGCGAGAAGATTGATCAATTATCCTTAGACAAGGGTGGGAATGGCTGATGAACAAACTTACCCTTTGATTTTGAACACATGAATGTTGGCACGATCCTGATCCCTGACCGTGGGCCGCCAGGGATATACCTCGTTCTGCGAGGACTGCGTCCACACCACAAACAGATCGAAGCTCCCATTCACGGTGAGATGGCGTGACAGCTTACGCTCTGTGGCGCCCGGTATGATTACATGAAATATGCGCGGATCCATGTTGGCAATCTTCTCCGGCCCCTGCGACCGTGCATTGGGACGCTGCAGATGCACGACCGTCAGCTGGTTCGTATTGTAGGCCAAGACGATGTGGGAACGTGTAAAAAATGCTAAAGCCAGCGACAAAACAAAAACAAAAAAACAAAAACACAAACGACAAAGCTGAATGAGCGGCTTGAACAAAACCATGGAAAGAGCTGTGTGTGTGGTTGGTGTGTGGAGGAGTGTGAAGGTGTTCGGCGGGGTGGCGCATATTTATGGCCAACAAAACAAGCAAGCAGATTAATTAAAAATTACAATAATTGCATGAACATGCCATGTGATGGCTGTGGCTGTGCTGCATGCGTGTGGCTGAGGCTGGGACTTTTACTGTGTGTGTGTGTGTGTGTGTGTTGGTGTGGGAAAGTGCAAACGTAGTCGCACTTGTTGCAAATGCAAATTTCTCCATAACTGCAACGACAGCAGCAACGGGCACAAGTCACTGCCACTACAGCGTTACGGCCAGCATATGGAATCAGTTATACTCTATCTACGACTTACGACTAGGGTTAAGGTGGCCCACAAACTGGTTACACCCTCACTCACCATCGGTAATGACCTCGGAGGCCAATTTGCCAACCAGATACTTCTCAAAGACCATCCGCAGAATGTCGCCCGTGTAGATGTCGACACAAATGTGCGCAATGATGCCATTGGCAAAGAGCAGCAGCACCTGTGCCGCATCCTGCCACTCCGAATGGATAACCTTGTGCTGGCGCAGCAGATCCTCCAGCTTCTTCAGATTATCCTTGAGGCGACCGGCCGACTTTCGACTGCTGTTTTTTAGTACGGCCAGACCATTTCGCCTCTCGGTGTAGTCTCGCTTGGCCAGCGCGGTCAAGTCCGAATCCTGCTCCTTCTGGCGCATGTAGCGAAAGGCGCCCAAGTCGTTGCTCTTGATGCGCACCTCATCTCGCAGCGTCGTCCAGAAGTGGGTCTCACTGAGCAGCATTCTTAGGCGGTATTAAGCCTAAACGCATCGATTTGCATGGCCGCGAAATGGGTGTCAACGATGTTGTTGTATTTGTTTCTGTGTGCAACTGGCGACTGTGTTGCTGCGTTTGCACTACTTTTTACGCAGCTGCCCCACAGCGAGAGATTTTCACCTGCACTGCGTACTACGGGACCGGGATCAATGAAAAACGTTTGAAATGCACAGAAAATTGATGATCGGCAGGGTTTAATGGGGTTTTTTAGGCAAGTTTTTCAATTTTTTATTATCTCGAAACGTAAACACTGAAAATTGTTGGATTTAGAGGTGGTACTTGCTGACGATCACTTGTTGCTGCAGCTCTAATCGTTATCGGTAAGCACTTATCGAGTGGTTCCAGTGTGACCATCGCGATGCGATTGCGGTGATAGGCGCCAACAGAAATTTGAAATAAATATTTGAATAAGGCTAAATACATTTTATAAACCACTTTAGATCATTCTTCGTACTTTCGAGTATTCATCAACTTTGTGGCACACAATCTTTGCAAATCCCATTATCGCAACGAAGTTTTTATTACCCAACAGTCGTCTACGATTCCCAGGTTGAACTATGCTCGAGGGCTTGCAGACTTGTCGCTGATAAGATAATGCCAATATAGAGAGCGTACGTCAAAGTAGAAGACGGCGACCGACAAGTGCCGCATTAAACGCAATAAACGAGCTTGGGATTATTTTTAAACAAAATTGTTGTATTTATTGATTTCACCATTAAATCAGATTGTAATCAATTATTCACAGTAGTTTTCTTCGTTCTTTGCTCGTTATCAATGAAATACGCTTAGGGGCCCCATAATTCATAGTGGCACACACTAACTAGCTAATTAATGGACTAAATAAACAGCAACGTATCGATAATAATAATAATAATATTTGTAATAATAATAATAATAATGATAATTATAATCGTATGCAATAGAGTAATAGAGTAATAGTAACTAAAATGTATATCGCATTTGAGGAAACTTAACAGAAAACGTTTATGGTTACAATTACGTGTATGTATGTACTCGTATATTCAGCGCAGTGCAGATCGTATCGGTACTACATACATACATATGTATATATATATGGCGGCTTTCTTATCCAACACTTTGTGCTTACAAACTAAACAAACTAAATTGTGTGGGAGGGTGGGGGCCTCATCTATTTACAATAAACTCTGAGCGCAACCCTCTCGCTATTTACATTTACATATATCAAAATATCAACCACGTTCTATACATACATACATATTTATATATATATATATATATATATATTGTATCTTTAACTAAATAGCAGCCTTTTCAAATTTTGATAACGTTTCTTGCCGAATCCCATCGAACTTAAGTCGTTGCTTTTTTTTTTGGCCTCCCATATACTGCAGGTTGTACATGACTCTATAGCAATTATATACTAGTAGCAGATAAACTGTGTTATGGAAATCGTACGTGGTGCGTGCGTGTTTTTTTTGCGTTGGCCAACGTTCAACGTCAACGTCGTCTCTCAAGTCTCTCGAGTTCGTTTTTGTTTTCTGTTTTGGGTTTGCCTTAGAAGCTAATTTAACTAAAAAATTTGCGCTCGTTGGTTTCGATCGTCTAGAAAAAGGATTACAATTACAATTAAGTTGCAGCAGTCGCGTCTACATATGCACAGATTGGGTTTCTCTTTCTCTCCTTCTCTTACTCCTTTTTCACTGTTAACTATCCATTCATCCATCCGTCTGTCTATCTGACGTTACCTCCAGGGAGTGAGTGCTTTGGGGTGCAAGGGATGGGTTGACTTATCCTTTAAAAATCGTAAAACTCGTTCGATTTGTTGTTGAAGCGACGCGTCAGCACATAGACAACCGCCTCATAGGTGGCCATCATGATTGCCGTGTTCGGTATCTGTCTGACCAGCTGCGTGGCCAAGCCTCTGTGGGTTCAAAATTATATAAAGAGAAGATATAGCAATTAGTGGTCTGAAATACTATAAAGCAGAGTCAGTCAGCACGCTCGCTCACTCGCTCGCGAGTGATAATCAAATTAAGGTAAACAAACAAAACAACATGCGACGCAAAAGAATGATTTTTTAAATAGATTTCACGCCGAGGTGGGGAAGGGGTTGAAGATTTGAGGAATTCGTGGGTGGCGCGTTATGATAATTTATTATTTAGCGTTGGAGAAGCCAACATTCTAAAAAATAAAAGCATTCGCTTTATCATATAAATATTTGCTTTTTAATATAGGATGCATCTCGGGGGGAATGTTTCGGGAATAAACTTTAAGAAGCTGTACATAAATGGGATTCCCTTGGGCTCATCTGGGATTCCCTTTGGAAATCTTTAAAGCCATTCTCTGTCGATCTTTGATCTCAGATTAAACTACAAACAAATCCCCCCATCCTATCGCAAGTGGGGATTTCTACGCACCTATACAGTCCAGGTCTTCCCTCCTCCTTCCACACCGTATTCAGTGTCTGCCAGAAGGAATTGTACTTGTTGCCCTCCTCGCGCAGACGCGTACGTGCCACCTCATGGGGATAGGCAATGCAGGAGGCAATTGTCTTGGAAACGGCGCCAGCCATCATGAATTCCAAAAAGTCACGTGAGCCCTTGGTGTCCGATTGCCGCTGATTGCGTTGCTCCAACTAAAACATAAATTAAAGGATTATTATTGGGATTATTTCACACACTCAATTAGATGATTTTGTTATACCAATTTGGACTTGATGAACTCGTAGATGACAAAGTGCACCATGGTCTCGCAGATGCCAAAGTAGCTGGCCGTGATGCCCTTGTAGAAGGCCGCAATGCCGCCCTGGGCATACACACGCTCAATGCACTGCCTCACTGTCATTTGCACCTTGGAGTTGTGGTCCAATTGCATGCGGGTCTTCACAAACCAAATGGGATTAGTGGCCGTGGATGAGACAAAGCCAGCACTGGCCGCACTCATGATGTGCACCAGCGGAGAGTCACGCTCAACGAAACTGAAAACGAACCACAACAAATTTAAGAATAAATATAAGGATTACTTAGAGGCAGTTGGCACTTACCCCAAACTGTTGAGCGAGTTCTTGGTCTGTGAGTAGGTGCAAAAGTAAATGGCACGGGAGGGCGCAACGCCCACGAGATTCGGACCAAGACCTTTGAACAGGGCACGTGCTCCCTCGTTCTGGACAATGTGTCTGAAAAAGTTCATAAATACGGTATAATTATTATGATATAATTCCAGTATAAATTAATGATATTCAAAATAGACTTACCGCAGACACTGTATGATGCTCATGGATTTAGGGGTTGTCGATGAGATGCCGCAATGTGAAATGGCCATAATCTGTAAAGGAATACAAGCAATTATATACGCGATTAAAAGCAGCTCAATCATTGATTCCGGGACAATGGAGATGAAAGATGTGGCTGGAGGGTTAGGATGTGGGGCAATCTCTGGACTTGGGTGGGGGATGGATCATGTGTGTTGTATGAGAGAAATAGGTAAAAAAGAAGTTGGTACTACCCTACGCACACCCCCAATCACCTGTGGCTGTGATCTGTTACGTAATATCGTTGTGCTTAGCTTACGTCGTTGTTCCGGCCTCAATAGCTCCGAGGGTCCGCCATTGGCCGGTCCACTCCCCGTTGGCTCTACGAGCCTCGACGACGGCGTCATGAATGCCGTGGAGCTCTGCAGACGCGTCTTGACCACCTCCAGGGGGCATGTTACCACAGCACCAACGGTGCCAGCCGATCTATTTGTAAGCAAGGAAACAAAACAAAAAAGAAAGGAAATATGAGTAATTTGTTCGGAAAATGTTTCCCCCTCCAACCCATCTAAAAATACATAGTTCCCCCAACAAAGAGATAAAACTAAAGTGCTTTGACATGATGTGTGTGTGTTCTCTCCATCCTCCGCCCGCGCGACATTCCCTTGGCCCATAAGATTAGTGCCAGAAATGTTTGAATATCATAAAAATAAATCGCGTTTGGCAATCGACCACGCAGAAATATATGAGTTTGGTTCGTATCCCCTCGGTTCGTATCTCATCTCAAAAACTCGTATTTCTACGATTTGCGCAATTCCTTTTCTCAAATTGGTTTTTCCTTCTAGTATATCTTGGATATCTCGGTACAAGTATGGGTCGTTTGTCAACCCCTTCCCCATTTCTGAGTAGAATTTCCATTTCCATTACCATTTCAAGTGGTGTGGGCATTTTTTTGATTGGTTCGTTGCGGGCTCCATGGATAGGGCGGGATTTCACGACGGTGTATGAGAGGGGGCGTCCATTAAGTAGTCAAAGTAAATTATAGAAAATTTTCTATTTTATTTCACATGCAAAATCAAGGTCATGTCATGTAATTGTTTACTGGATTGAATTAGAATGGAAGTGTGCTGCAGATGTCAGTTCTCACAGAAGAAAAGGAAATCCGACAAGAAAAACACAAACCCACACAAGTAGTGGTAATGGTAAGTTTGTTTAGCGCAGAGGAATGTATAATTGAGTTTACTTTTGACGAAAATAACTATTGAAATAATAAATATCAGAGTTTGTTTTTCATAGTTTTCTCAAGATGGGAAATTCTTTTGAAATCCCTAATTTTCAATTTCAATATTTCACTTGTATATTTTATATATTTCATGCACACGCCATGTATATTGTTTTTTTCTTACTATTCTCGTGCATTCTCTTTCACAGCTGTCGCTTGTGCGTCCCAAGTTGAGCATTTCGGGCCTATCCATCGCTGCTTTACACATTGGGACATCTGCAATCGACATTCACCTTAAAGTTAACCTTGCCATATAATGCTACCCCTCCAAAATTAATTATACACGACCTTTCCCAAAAAAAAAAAGGTAATAAGCCAAACCAACACACTGATTACCTCTATCAATATCAACAAATTCGAAAATTGTGAGATAAAAGTGGAAGAACTATTTCGTTATCTACAGAATGTTCATGTATTTATTCGCCGGAACATAACTCGTGATCGCAAACTTGTAAATTGGCGGCGGTTGGCAACAAAACAACAAAGGAATCATGAAATTCGATTATAATTATAATAATCCATGACAATGACCGCACACGAGACGGCAAAAGGTTATGCAACAAAGAATAAAGGGGGGGAAAATAACAGAAAAAACGACAACGCCAACAAGTTTGATCGATGAAGGAGAAAACTTTCTTGCAACAGACACGAATGTCTCCTTTAATCCCTGGAAAATACAGAAATTAATCAACGTTGGCATCCTCAAGGAATTTCGCAAGTTGTGGGCTGTCGGATGGGGGGATTGCAGTCGAGAACCGGTCCGTACTGGTTACGGATTGACCCCTGCCTATGGGGCAGATAACCTTTGCCAGCCCCGGGAATGAATTGCAATTCGTTCGGACAAAGCGGGACTATCCGCCTATCAGCTGCTATCAGCTATGGCCCCAGGCCCCACGTCTGTCCCCCCATACAATATTTATATGGATGCCCAGAGTCCCCAGGCGGAATCTGGTATGTCTCTGTGACATAATTACTGCAAAACTGGTAGGAACCGAAGAGAGAGAGGGAGAGACAGATAGGGCGGAGGAACACGAACACGCCATATGCTCCAGCAATCTTTCCTTTTCCACTTTTGGCTATGTTTGACACATTTCTGGGTCGCTTTTTTTCGCACCCCCCACCCCTCTTCAAGCACAGACCTAGTCAAACAATTTCACGAAAAATAATCACATTTAATCAATGAATTAATGGGCAAGTGTTGTGACTATTGAATTACAATTAGCATCTGGCTGTCACTTGACGAGAAAATATGCAAGGCAAACTGTTTGCCCTGCAACGTGCCAGACACAAAGATAGATAGGCGGATAGACAAACACATAATATCAAGTAGAGAGAGAAAGCGGAGTGGCTTGGGTTTCGTTTGATGTTACGCGGAACTGGAAGGGGAGTCACGGATCAACAGGTTAACGGACTTGGGAAATGAAATCGTTTCAAAATAAAGGGGATATTCTATCTGGGGAATATCTTAATTACTTTATTCAACATAAAATATACTGCGAGCTACACCGTAGAACAGATTTTCATGCCATATTGCTATTAAAGATATCAGAACTCTTTATAAACAAATTCCTACTGGTTCATCAAGTGTGAAATATGTGAAATTCAGAATATTTTTGCCACAAGTATGCAATCTTTTCAGTATATGTACATATGTACGTACATATGAACATGCATCCCTCGTATAACCATATCTATAGCCACATCGAAACTCCCGACCAATGGCCCCCCCGGCTGCTGCTGTACGGAACATGTGTGAAATGTGCAAAATGCAGCCGGCTAATGTTAATGCGCTATTTATTTGTTTTTTGACATTGGTTTGTTCCCCCCCATAAACACGCGCTTTCTGGCCAGATAAGATTGGAAATTTTTGGGGCCTAGCCAGACATGGTCTATGGACAAGACGTACAAGTGTTAAATGTGGGGAAGAGGTATCCATAAAGCGAACCTGATAATTCCCTTTAACGATGCGTCAGCCCTCTCTGTTGGGGAGGCTCTTGTCCAGCTGCTCGAGAGTCCCACAATCACACCTGCCCCTCCCCAACCATAATTTTGGCACTGATAAAGATTTCTTGGCGGGGGCTACATCTTATCAAAGAATATGTCGTCGGTTTTATTTTGCGTTTCACAGACTGAAGTTTCGTCTTATCAGTGCGATTCTACATTTTGCTTTTGTCTCTTTCATTCCTACCGTTTCTTCCTTCTCCTTTGACGTTTTTCGTTTTAGATTACGAAATTTATGGAAAATTTTGAATGTTTTTGTTTCTGTTTTTTATGGGTCAAAATAATCAAGGTTATAAGGAATATTTGGGAATGGGTTAAAGCTGTAAGACATTCACAAAAAATCTCTCTCTGGAATAATGTGATTATTGGAAAAGAAATCTAGTTTTAAAGCGGATCTTTCAGGGATCCACTGTTTTTCTCTTGTTATATGAACTGCTTGCTAAGTGTTCATAATGCAACGGTACAAAACAGCTGATTTTCAAGAGTAGTAAAATGGTTTTGGAGTGGAAAAAAATTGTTGTAGCTGAATGACAACTAAACCAGTTTGATGCAAATTTTTCTGCGATCAATAGGCATTTATTAGAGGAAGATATTTCATATCTAAATAAAAGTACTTAAAAGTAATAAAAAGTCGTTAAGAAAGCTTCTAAGATTAGATTTTAATGGTATTAACCAGAGAAATTTTAAATAAACTTGGCACGCGACCTTCTATATAAATAAATGCGTAGATCATGTGTAAATAAAAATCTTTCTCTGTTAATACATATACAACGGTACAATATACACATATGTATGAGAACCCAATGAAAATTATAATATTTATATTAAGAAAATATGTGTCTAGATCAAGAGTAGAATAAAGCAAGGCGCCCTTGACACAATTTTTGGCTATAGGAAATGTTTGCAAACATTTTATCAGCCAACTGAATAAATTATCAAAACTAAAGCAATGCCAAAAAGTCAAATAAAACAAAGAGAAGCACATAAGGAATCAAAGAAGATAAATAAATAATGAGATAGCACAATAACAACAGATAAATGAGAGGAAAATATAAAACCAAAATCAAACTGCAGTAACTATTCATTTACCTATTTTCCCGTGTTGGTTTTTATTCATTCATTTATTCAACTCATTCGCACTTTTAACTGGAAAAACACCTTGTGGCGCCAGAGAGAGACCTCATCCCCGAAATTGAGCGACTGAGCCACATACATATATTTATTATGTGTTCCAAAAAAAAAAATGCGTACGTGCGGAGAGACATGTCGTTTAGAGCCAAAGACAACAACAAGGGAAACAGGAAAGAAAAATACGTAAACAAATCACAGCTGATGGACAAATTTTAATGCAAAAAAATGCAAAGAAAATCGTTCTTAAGGTAAGCATGGGGGGCCAAAACGTAAATTTAACTATATTATATTGCTGATTCCGATTTATATATTTATTGAGTTTAGCAAAACAGAAAAGTATTTTCCAAAGATTCAGTCAGATACATTTTAAACTAAGGAATTAGCTTGGATATAGTACTAGCGTGTTTACATAATTAATACTTCCTTCTCTGTGCATTATACCTCCTAAAAAAAACTGGTCCAAAAATAGTCAGAGAAACGCGAAAACTTGCAAAGTGATTATTTAGAATTTTCAGGCAGAGCAGAAGTGACATTGTTTGTTCTGTTAGGTTGTTATCCCCAGATAATTTGCTACCAGATTCTCCTGCCCCTCCACAACACCTGATTGGCAGCAATGTTGTTTGTTGCATTCAATCCCAATCGCCTTCAACCGTCGCCGACGAGTCAGTGTGCCAGAAAAAGTTTATTTGCCCGGGGCGAGACCGTCTAGAAAAACCAAAACAAAAATCCAAATCGCTTGCCAAGCTCAATTTAGAATGGGTGGGTTTTACTTTATATAAAAACACATTAAAATACAAAAATAAAAAAACATTGGGGAAAATAACAATGTATACGCGATAATTGGGTGCAGTGTGTTTTTGCCAAAAATTTGAAAACATAGAAAACCGCTAGACCAATTTCACAATTGTCTTTAATTGTCGATTGTTGTCAGATAATTTTCTTTAAATGCCATAAATGTTTTGCATATTATAGGGTGCAGATTATTTCTATTCATAATACAGTGAAAATAATGTAATTAAAACTTCGAAATTTGAGAAACTAAAATATAGTTTCAGCATAAATTACCTAGAAATAATATTTTGACCCCATTCTGTCTTTAATAATGTTAAAAAATTATATCAAAAATCAATTGAATATAATGCAATGCCATTTGATAAAACTATTATCGTTATATCGTTAAGTTTCCGCCTTGGCATCGTATTCTAATAGGTTTTCAATAGGCTAAGACAAAAATAGCTTCTAAAATGGCAACAGATTTCAAATATTACCCAAACTTGTGCCTCTGAGTTTATATACAAATTCTAAATATCAATAATAATGTATAATTTTTCTTTTTGGTTTAGTTTGAAAGTTTTTAAAATATCTAAATTTTCTATAGCTTATATAAATGGTACGCCTTTTAAAGCAGCTTTGTGATGCTCGACCAGACGGATGGATGCATGTCGGTTAATAACATGTTTGTTTTTGGTTTTATTTATAGCATTATAACAATGTAGGGGCCAGAGCAAGGTTGTTTTTGCCTTAGTTTTCCCAACGTGTACAAACACGAGACACACAGACACCCACACCACCACACAACCCCCCTCATTGTAATAGTTCAAGTGCTAGTAGGGGGGGGGAAACAACAACAACAGGGTTACAAAAACTTGGGTGAAGAAAGCTCTTGCCGAGCTGCAACGTGAGTGCATTTCAACAACAGTTTTTTCTATATACACACATACCTATAATACGAATACACACTCGTATAGTATATAAGAAAGAAGTCTTACGACAGTAGCGAGTGAACATTGAAACGATTTTCTTGAGTTGTTGTTTTTTACTGCTGATAAATAAGCTTAGGCCAGCGCACAGGCCGGCCGGCAAAATTACTCAGTTCTGGTGGCCACAGTCTGTCATTTTGAATACTTTGTAGGGTACACATTGGGGCTGCAAAAGTTTAACAATTCTATGACAGCCCCCATCAAGGCCACCCTTTAGTTATATTCTTAATTGCGTTTTAGTGAACGCCAACTATATTTGATCGCCGCATCATTTATGTTTCATTAAATACAGCTTCGTTTCCCCCAAAACCAACCTTTTGTTTCTGTTTCTGCCACATTTGCCATTTAAATTTACATTTCCCGAATGTCCAGAGGCTCGACTTGTACTTCTCTTTCTGTCATTCTCATTCTCTTTCCTTACTTCTTTCATTCTGTCTCTTTCCAACAAAAACGGAACCAGAACTGTCCGATCTTTTCGATCCCCTACACTGTAGGGCCTACCCAAAGCACAATGGAAACATCACGAACTGCTTGGGCAGACAGAGACCGATCCACCACTCAAACGGGTTCAAGAGACTGATATGCCTTGCAGTGGGCGGCCTGTGTTCTGTGTGTGTGTGTAGGGTGCAGGTAAAAATAAAACTAAGTCAGATGCGCGGTCCCCAGGTCTAAAAATAGAAACGATAAAAGCGACAATCATAATAATAACAGAAACAAAAAGAACAACAATAACATGAAGAACAACAATGCAATTGAAGCTTGTTAATGCCCGTCGCCTGAGTTATGGAACTCGAATTGGACATTGCCTGTAACGTGATTCAAGCGATAGCAATGAACCGCGTAGAGAAAGTAAGACAGAGTGAGAGAAATAGAGGACAAGGGATAGAGGAAGGAGAGCCTACTCCTGCACAGCATGAGCTGATAAATGACCTATGTATGTACATATGAAATGTACATTCCTAGTACATACATACATATGTACATCTGTTTTGCCCGGTATTTGTAGAGGGTGCATTTGATTAGTGCAACAGGCACGTGGAAGCGGTTCTCAACCATAGATCGTATTCATTCTTGATTAGCATCAACTGCATAAGCAATCAAGCCATGTCCCTTTTAATTTAGACCGCTAATTTGGTAAAATTTTAATTAGAGACTGTCATGATCGGATAATTAGTGCAGCCATAACGCCATAAAATGAATAGATAAGTTCCTCGTTATTTCAGCTTTGACTATGATGGGTATTCTTCAGTCGGTACACTTAAACGCTTATAGTACTTTGCACATTTTTTTTTCACTTCTTGCGGTGACGTTTATCTCGAATCAAAAATTGTTGTTGATTTTCGCCAAAAACACGTGAACGGAGCATGGCTCTCTTAAATTGTTTTGCTATGTGTCGCTGCTTTCTGTACCGTCCCTTTTCAAACAGTGATATAATTTTAATCTAAATTTTTTAATGCACAAAAGGAAGAACGCTTAATTATAAAATGTCTCAGCTATGACAAACGAGTCTTTTAGTATATCAATGTCGATCCATGTCAACGGAAACTGCAAGGGTACCTAAAGCTTCGGTGTGCCACAGTTAGTTTTTCCGAAATTTTTATTCAGCCTTTCTTTTTTTGGCGCCATTGCCAACATTTTCCCCCCCGCCCAGTCGGCGGAGGCCAGGTCGCATTTACTTGAACAAATTTCGGTCTGCTTCTGATTTACGGCTAACTAAATCTAATCGCAATTGCGCCGTGTTAGTGATTAACGTACCACTATGTCACTACGAAATGAAATTCAAGCAAAACCGGTTTTGTCTATTGTAGCCTGACCTGAGCTGAGAAACACCCATTAGATTCCACTTACCCGCCGGCAATCAAATGGATGAAAGTATCTGCCGTGTTTTGAGCCATGCTCTCGCTCTCTCGTCACTTAATCGGTGATTGATTAAATAGCCACTAATTAACGCGCACTTGAGATTTACAAAAACAGGCAGCACAAAAAAACTACTTTTGAAGGCACGAACGATGCGACACGGCGCGTAGATGGATGAGCGGGGGCCCAAATGCAGGCGTGGGCCGGTTGGGGGCCCGAACAGGGGCTTATCCCAATGGTTTTGTATTTGTATTAGTATTAACTTTTCTTAATTATTTCACCAGGTCCACGAGAACTTTCAGTGGTTGAAATTATGCTGCAGTTTTGCTGCTCTTTTTTTGGCAATGACAAGTTATGCAACTGCAACTGTGTTCACTGCTAACGATTATCTTTAATTATGACAAGTATGCGCACGGCGCCAAGTCCATCAAGCACTTGTTTAATTGTTTCAATTTTTTTCATAAAGTTTTAATAAATCAGAGAATTATTTGATCCGCAGGTCTGAAAAAAAACATAACAGTGCAGTGCGACCGCGGATTTATCGGCTGAATATACCGTCAGACCCTCCGGAAAATACCGAAATATATCGGATCATTTTTATAATATACCGTAAATATACTGACGAACACGTTGATATTCCTCGATTTTGATGTTCGGTTTAATATTACCAGCTAGCTGGGACTCTCAGCCCTAAACAAATAATTTTATCCGATAGATACATACATTTTTTAAGAGATTGGCAAGTTTTCAGAAGTCCTTTTTATTGGATTATTTACATATTAAGGTTCAAACAAAAACAGCATAAAACGAATTTGTCGTCGTTTTGTGGCGTTGCCAGACTCGTGCAATTCGTAGTTGCTGCGGGCTGCCAATAAACGGAATATCAATATCGAGGAATATCAACGTCGAATGTTTTGAAAAAACAATCGATACTATCGTGATATTTTGTGATATGAAATTCGTCAATTTTGATATTCAGTTTAATATTACTAGATAGTTGGCCCTCTCAGTCCTAAACAAATCATTTTATCCAACTCCTCAATAAATTCTGTTCAGGATTGGCTAGTTTTCAGAACTTTTTTCATTACATTGTTTACATAAAAAGGTTCAAACAAAAACGGCGAAAGCATAATACGTAAATGTTGACTAAATGTGACGTCAGTGTTGCTGGTCAACCAAGTTTCTTCTATGCGTATGTACTTTTGTATACCTTATTTATTTTAATTAATGTTAAATGTTTTGTTCCAAGCTCCATTGAAACATTATTTATGATTTTATCCTATATTGACATGCTTTTTACCTATTAATGCACATGTTTGTGTTTTATATATACATTTATACCGGTTCTGATACCTATTATTGGAACCCGTGAGCTGCAAAATTTAGTTAATATCTTTAAAACAGAGACTGAGTAGTTTCTGCATTAACTAGAGCCTGAAATTACAAACATTACCTCTATTCATTTCCCCATGCTGCTTTAATTTTTCCCATACATACATACATATGAAATGTATATAACGGTTTATGATACCACTCGCCGTTTTATTCATTTTATTGCAGCTCCTCTTGAAAAATATAAGATTTCTACCCATGTGGTCGAGCAACAAAAAAATGTCCCCAGAAACATTTGGGCTAATCCGAAAATTTTTAAACCAAAGGCAGCAGTTTTTTAATGGAATAATAGGATACATATTCAAGCTTCAAAATATATGAGCAATATGGTTTTCCGATGGTTATATTGTTCTTGGAAGAGACTAACCTACATGGACCTCTGCATACATTTATTCTTCTAAAAAAGGCTATTTTCCATGGTCAAAAAAGTGGGCAAAAGTGCTTAGCTAAACTTAAAATTTTTTTAAATTTCTTTTATTTAAGATACAAATCATACATGTAAAATATCTAATATATATTAAAAAAAATTCCGGAAAATTTATTTTTTTTATTTTAACAGAATGAGTTTTAACAATTTTGTTTTCCAAAATAGCTTTATAAACAGAGTTTTTTATGCACTTTAATCTAATGAAAAAAAAAATATATTTATTAAACATTTTTTTGAAAAAAAATAATGGCAAAGTTTGTAACGTCCGTAACGGCACGAATACTCAAAAATTTTATTTTTTATTGTAATGTTAAAGTATGTGTTTCTATTGGATTTTCACCTGCTGAATCTGAATCTGGGCTTTAAATAGGTCTAAGTTGCCGAAAATCTGAAAAACTTTACCTCAAAGTAACAAAAAGTGTGCTTAAATATCATGCAATCCGCCAAGATCCCCCAAACATGTAATACAATAGTAACGAAATATTTTATACTTGTTTTGTAAGTAGTAAATTAATAAATTCAATGTTTAAAATATTTGTAAATACAATAATATTTTTTATTTACACAATTTGGCTTGATGGAAAAAGTGTAACGTCCGTAACAGACAAAAATTACGATTTCTTTTCAACGGGACTACTTATGATTTTTTCTTTGCTGCATTAATATGGTCATATGATATATTCCACTTGATTTGTTTTTTATGCAAAATTCGCTAAAAAATGTGCAAATGCATGCAGGCTCAAAGTCAACTTCCACTTTTTGTAACGTCCGTAACGGAACTTAAAGCAAGCATAATTTTTTTTCAAAAAAAGATAACCTTTTATTTTAAAGTAAGTTTAAAAGGGCGATTCACTTTCACTTTGGCGAGCGATTCACTTTGGCGTTTTGTTTGAAAAATCTATACATAAATTTAGAAAATTGTAAAAAAGCATTTATATTCGGGTTAAGCTTTAGTAAAACACTTAAAAATATATTTCAAGGCAAAAATTAAACAAATATTGTGTCAGTTTATGAGGGCGCGGTCAATACCTTGCAACGCTTCAAAATGGAACGAACATCCTTGACAAATCGAAGGGCATCGAGAAAGCCCAGTATGTTGAGTAGCTTGGTGTCCCAGTCCCCGATGATGTTGTCGGCAATCGGTATGGCATTATTCACATTGAAACAGCATTCAGGTATCGAATTATCTAGAAGAATCACATTGGCCATATCGGGGCAAACCAGCGATACGAACTTGGCATTGAACCCATAGACATTTATGCAGTTGCTTCGAAAGAACCGTTGTGTCAGAATGTTGCGCCCACCATCCAAATAGTCAAGAATAGGCGTGGCATATTCTTCGGTTCCAGCGGTGAAGATGATTAGATTGTACCACTTTGAGACCCTTTCCAGGAAGTAGTCCACATGTGGCCGCTTGTACACTTTGATCGTGACATCGTTCAACACAAACTCGAAATCAAATGGCACAACTTGCCATTTGCATTTTCTGCTTGAAGGTGGACTCGTACCGTCTTTCTTTATAGTCACTGACGTGATGAGAGTTTCATCCATATCAAGGATGAGAGTTTTCTTCTTAACAAGCGTAAGTCGACGCTTGGATGCCGGTGACAATTTATCGTCGTCGTTCATGTATTTACATGTAATGAATTTACAATACGGCTTATGGATGATAGCATACCACAAGCGCTCCCGAAAGCTCGCCAAAGTACACAGCGACAGTACTAAGAGTCTACGAAGTCGGTTCTTCATATAGCCAGTCTATATTGATTGAAATTATGGTTACTTACAGGGTGATGATGAAGCAATTTATCGAATTGCTACTGATAAAAAAGGCTGAAAAATTATTTCCCATTTTTGCTATTATATCTGAGTTATTTGTAATCTTTTCGTTCAGCAAAGATTGAGAGTCACAATTTATTCTAACGAGATGGATTGATTTTCAGTAGCCTATTCGATTATAAATTGTTTGCTTAGCGTAGAAATTCAAAAATGGCGCCCAAAAATCTTTCATAGAAATACCCGAACGCAAAGCAGCCACCTTTTGTCAGTGCACCAGCGACGCAGCTTTTGTCACGGATCAAAAGTCACGGGGGTTTGGCGGCAAATTTAAATTAGCTTCAAACTAGAAACAAAACGTTTGTCAAATAAAAACACAATCTTTAATTTAATTGCATTGAACACTCAACAGCTTAAAGACTTTATTTATTGATCGATATCGATTTATTGCATTTTTTTTCTCAACAATTATCTGCTGCTGTAATGTATTGCTATATTCTAGTATAGTTTTCTTGCATTGTTTTGGCTTTTGTTCATGTCTGCAGGATTTGCATTTGCTTACCAACTAATTAATAATTAAAATTGAATTTCGAAAATTGCGAATAATTTTGTTTGTTTGTTTGTTGTATGTGTATGTATATATATTGTAGTTTGTTGTTCTCTTGCTGTTTGTTGGCATACGAATTTGTGGAATTTGAGAAACTATTCAATTTGTTGAAACAACATTTGCTATTGCACTGTGATATTCGTGTGTGGTTTGTATTGGCAACTTCCTTGGATTAAATGCACTTTTCATATTGCTGGGAACCTATTTATTTATGTATTTATTGCTTTGTTGGTTGTTTGCTTGCTGTGTTGTTAATTAGTGTCTGTTAGTGTTGGATATACCCGTTTTGCCTCACGTGGTTAGATTTGTAAATATATTCCTCTACTGTATAAATACATACATTGTATTATTATTGTTAGTATATTGCATTGGTTTTGCATCATTTTTTAATATATTTATCTATTTAATAGCCTTGCATAAACGTTACTCTGATTTGTTTTGGTGACACGCAAAAACAGTGTTGTAAATTACAAAAATATACGTATGTGGGTGTGTGTGTGTGTGTGTATTCGTGTTGTCTGTTCTCGAAACTGAAAACTCTGTAGAACCCGAAGAAACGCAACAAATGGTTTATGATGTAACATTTATTAGCTTGTAATTTGTTTGTAATTGTTTGTTGTTTTTCTCATATTTTGTTTGTTTGTTTTGTTTTCACTTATTACAATACAAAAGGTACGAAAGGCGCGAGAAATTCAAATGGGATTCGCGGGGAATCCCATCGAATTTACACTAAAAATTGACTTAATTGTGAAAATTAAACAGAAATTAGGGTTTTTTTTTTCGATTTCCCAAAAAAATATACTTAAACTTAAACATGGTTTTCATCCATTTTTGTAATGTTTTTTTTGGGGGGATTTTGTGGGGTAAGGTAAAGGGGTTTTTCCTTGCTCTTTAATCTTACGTTCTACATTGCTGGAAAAAGTTAAAGTGAATTTTGTAATCCGTCTCAAGTGTCTATATACGAGTGTCTGTAGTGTGTGTATAGGAAACTGAAAACTTGACTGAAAAGCGGCAACTAGTTCGAGTATCGGTATCTGTATCTTTTATATGCATTTCTCTTAATATTTGCGGGGCTTATAATGGGGGGTGGGGATGGGGTTGGGTGTGGGGTATCTTATTGATGAACTCGTTACTCGGCGCGACAGAGCAGCGAGGCGAAGCGGAAGAGCCGCATCCAGCTAAACAGCTTCGACTCGATGAGGTTCTCCTCCGCCGTCGAGGTCGTCATTGAGACCCGCGACGAGTTGGAGGATTTGCTACTCCGTTTCTGCTGCATGATCCTGGGCGAGCTCATCTTCATTATCGAGTAAGTCGTCTTGACGGCTTCTGGTTGCACACGCCACAAATGTGGACGTGGGCTACGGGTGACACAAGAGTGGAACAAACGAAACGCAAATGCTGAAAAGAGAGAGAGAGAGACATAGAGAGAGGGGATTAGTCGAGTGCTATTCAATGGCGCAGCGCAGCTCAGTCTGTTGAGCCTCTCCAAGCATCCTTCACATTCGAGTGGCTGCCGTGACATTTGAGCGGCAGTCAGTAAATCCCAGAAATCCAATCCAAAAAGATAACAGAATAGAGTATGATGTAGCAGGGGGAGGGCAAAGAAAATTCTCGGAAATAATAGCATCACAGTTGCAAAAGCTCTTTCATTTTAGCATGCAATCGAACTATTACTTAACTGTTCTTAGTACAAAAAATACTCAACTCTTATAGCATTCCAATTTAGCTTACACTCCCCTCCGCACCCCTCTATCAAAAACACACAAGTTGATTTTATACCATGTTAAAAAATAGAACTCCATAAAAAACAGGCCCAAATGGAACTGGTTCCTCAATGGAACTGCTCACCTCTAATCGAAATGCTCCATTGCCTCAATGAGGGCGTCACCTTCCAACACACACACAGACACCCACCCAACCACATCCCATAAACGAACCCATGCACACCCATCAAAAGCTGATGACCTTGCTCGACGCTCAAAAGAGAACCGAACCGAACCGAACCGAGCCCCCCCCCAAAATGAATGCTCCAGTTTCTGCAGATCCAAGCAAAGCTTTGCTGTCTACGACGATTCAATGACAAAAGTTACTTAAATTGGTGACCACATGCAGACATACATACATGCATACATATGTACACATTTATGTGACAAAGAGAGAGACAAAAATATATATATGTACATACATATGTCATATCCTATAATCTTGCAACAGCTGTTGCCCAAACAGAACGAATTTTAAGTTACATTTTCTAATTACTGGTTACCATTATAGTTATCATAAATATTTGTATACATTTTTGTGTTGTGCGCCAAAGCCTGACCAACAGTTCTGTGCACAAGCCCAGTGAGGAGATGACCGCGACTCTGTCCAGACTAAAAACTTGGGATTTCCGCCCAATCTTCTAAGATGAATTTAAATCTACATTTGTTCCACGTCTTAACGAGCGGGAACGCTGTGAGCCAAGGCATGGGCCGCATGTGATTCAGTTTGATATCACAGGACGCGCACACAAAAGTTCCTCTAGCTCTTATAGTCTCTGAAAACTAGGCGTCAAACAAGACTCACAGACGGACGGACAAACAGCCGATATAGCCATATCGATTCGGCTGTGGATGCTGATCCAGAATATACATATATAATTTCCTTCTGGGTGTTAAACACATCCATCCACTTCCACCACAAATCTACAATAATATAGCCCTAAGCTCTTTTTCTTTTCTTTTATTTTTTCCCGTTTTGTTGCTAGATAATTTTCCACTTTGTGTGTTTGGTAAGCAGCATTAACATGTATTTTGTAAATATTTTTCTGCTCGAGAGACGCCTGCGCATTTGCCTTAGCGCTCATTATACCGTTGCGATCAGAGAGATAACGGGCAGGTAAAGTCGTTCCAAGGCACAATGGGTGATGTAGGTAGGGGCCCGCGCTGAAAATTCTTTTGACCGAAATGTTATGGATGGGCGAATCGGAGATATAAATACTGAAATAGAAATATGTCTCGTAAATTATTCTCAAAAATCATTCCCTTCAACTAATTATAGAAATGCGATCATTTAAATGATTTCCAATTCCGAGAGCGTTTAAAGTTCGTTTTACATATTCTCCTCTTCATTTCCATTTCGCTTGAAATTTACACATTCCTCGCTGCAATTCACACTGCCTGCCCACTGCCTCTGCTCTGCCCATTACACTTCTGCCTTTGCCTTGGTGCTGCTGATCCTCTGCCCTGCCTCTGCCTCAGCTTTAATCTCTGCTCCTCCTCTCCTCTGCACTGGTTTCCATTTCTTCTTCTCCTCCTCTTTGGACATCAACATTTTCGGGGAATGGGAAATATTTGTTGTTCTCGTTGCACTTTAATCTTTTGATGGGACAAATGCAGCTGCTGCGCTGTCAGCTAGATATGCACAGCCAGTGAGTGCGAGAAGGAGGGAGGAGGAGAGAGGGTGAGCGAGCGCGATGGCGTGGGCGACTCAAAGCCCAACGGGGCAACACAACACGATGCTCGCCCACGTTTACCCCCTTCCAGCAGCCCCCGCTCACTTGACACTTTTTTTTCGTGTTATGTTTTGTTCGTTGCGTTGTGTCATGTGCCAACAAAAAACTAATGATCGAACTTTTCCACCCCTCCCTCCCCCTGACCAAAAACACTCGAGTTCTCTCTCTATTTGCTTCTCGCTCTCTCTCTCTCTCTCTTTTGATCGCTCTGTTCGATTACAAATTCTTCGGCTGTCCATTGCCAAAGTATGTTAATAAGGTAAGGCAATTCTCGCATAGGCCTCACATTTTCGAAGTGCAAGAGAGAGAGAGTGGAATTGCTTCACCTTACATTGAGACACCTTGGCCAATGAATGGCTCTGCTTGCTGTCTGTCCTCTGCGAGCACTGAGGGGCGTATGCGTGATGTTTTTATTGCCGTTAAATTAACCGAATACCGTATTAAGAGAGAGTGGAAGGGAGGGCAGCACCCAAAGAGAAATGGGTGCGAACATGCAATACTTTAGATTGTCTCTGCCCCTGGGGTCATTTGGTAGCATTTCAATATCCTGGGCGCCAGCGCCACATCTATCCCCACAGAATTTACGAGTGTCGAGTGTTGGGAATCGAATATCGCCCCGCCGTCTGTGGTGTTGTAATTTGTGGCCCATCATCGTGTGTTCTGACATTTCTTTTCTTTATGACCCACACAGACATCGCAACATATTTTAGGTCATTTAATAGGTGTCTTGTCCAACAGCTAATAATAGGTATATTATCTGACAAATATTGAGGGTTAGTGCTCGATATATTTAGATGGCTGGAGAGCTAATAATATAATAATATACCAATATCTAGAGTTCCCTTTCCACTTATTTTTTTTTTCCATTTTCACACTTGCACCTCTGCCGAGTTCTAGTACAAATATTCGTACATTTTCCTCCTAATTGGCTTCAATTTTATGTTTTTGTTGATGGCAAGTTGTTTGCCGTTTTTTTCCGTTTGTCGCTTGTCACCGTTCGGCACCGTCCTCACCCGGTGGCGATGGCTCACATTGACCCACTTGGCTCGCATGCTGTGTGCGCAATAAGCCCCAACAACAACTAATATATGAAAGCACAACAGCACCAACGACAGTAACAAAAGTGCAGTTTGAGTTGAGCCTGTGCCAAATTCAATTATCAATTTGTGCTTTTCCATGCATTTTTCATTTGATTTCCACTCGCTTTCCTCCTCTTTTTCGCTGCTTGACAATTCCAAACGCGAAACATTCGTCCCAAAACTGACAGTTCAAAAGCGAACGATAGTTAGGGAACGGAATCATTTGGGAATTATTGAGAAGGGAGTGGCAGCAGCAGCAGCAGAAGCAGCATTGAAGTTGACATTTTGAGGGACATGACAGCAGCCAGCCAGCCCCCTCCAGAGTGAAATGCCGTTGATAACACTGGTTAACCTACTTACAGTACAGTGGAATGGAAAAAGCAATGAACGCAATGGAATTTTAATATTTTACTTAATTCCGAGCGTACGTATATAGATCTACGTGATAGATTCTAAAGTACTTATTGGATCCAAATTTCAGCTGTATATTCGGTTAACCTACTATATTGGGTATAATATGATCGCAGTTATATTTGTCGCAATGAATTACTTGTAACATTACAAAATATATTCCTACTAAATATCCTGCTTTGTTTTGTGTCTACTGCTTCACAGATCATCATAGTGGCTATCATTGTCGCCTGCTTAGTGGCACTGTCGCTGTCGCTGTCTCCTGCTCTTTCTGCCTCTGCCTCTGTCTCTAGTGCAGTTCCAATTGCATTTCAAATGAGCGTTTCCAGTGTTATCAGCGCGTGCCAGTTGAGCGCGCTCTCCTCTGACAGACATAACCGCAGACCCTCACCACAAGAGAAACCGCCCCACCCCCCTACTGCTCCACTATCTATTTGCCTGCCTCAATCCACGCCTCCCCTTTTGTACTCTATCTCTCTCCCATTTTGACATCCGTCTTAATGAGGCTTCAATATCACTTGTCAAATTGGCACACACACCACTAACACCACACACACACACACACAACTGTACTATTTGTAACTGTTTGTAACTGCTTGAAACTGCTTCGCCTCTCTGCGAGAGCGGGCGGGCAACAGCTGCTTGCTTCTATGGATGCCGTGTGAGAGAGAGGAAGGAGAGTATCGGATTGATTGATCTTTTTTAAATAGATAACAATATCTAATTGGGTCAGACTGTACTTTAATACGCACATTACGTACGTACGTACGTACGCTTTATTGTCAATCGTTTTATTGTTTCAATGAAGCTATAAACTGGAAGGCCTTGAACCACTGGGCGTGCTGCAGCTCCCTCCCCTCATATTTCCCCCCCAAGCATTCAACGGTTACATGACAAAATCTTTTCACAGATCTTGTCGTAAGCTTCTTTTTCCATTTTGGGGTGCGGCATGATCTCACCAAAGCCAAACAACAAACAACAAATATGACATCAGAGTGCTGGACCCGTACCCGTACCCGTACCCGTTCAACTTGAGGCGACAATTAGAAGGCAATACATATTTAAGAGATACGAGTATCTCATAAATATTTACTACTCACAAAGATAATTTGAGTTTAAGTGGGAGAGAAGAGCTAGGAGAAGGAGAAGAAGAGGCACAAACAGAGTTCAAAGATATGTATATTCTCCGTTTTCCAAAGCCACTGAAGTTGGGAAAAACCTGAATAAATATTTATAAGAATGCTAATTTCCGATTGCAGTTACTGCAGTAACAGTAAAGCAGGCAAAGCAGGAGATACAGAGACGCAGAGAGAGAGAGAGCGGTATAGGAGGGAGAGTAAGCAAGAGATGGGGCAAGTGTATATGTAAGTATATCCCACAGATGCATTGTTTTGGCCCAGAACCGCAGTCAA